ATTAACACCTCAAATTTAAGAAGACGTGACGTGCAATACGCATGTGATGAGTGTAACACCCATGGAAAAAAAAAACAGGTGCATACCTTTGTTCCCCAATACCTATTCTCCCCAATACCAATGTTCCTCGAAATCCTTACTGTATAACCGTAACCCTAACCCTAATCCTAACCCTAAGGATTTCGGGGAACATCGGTATTGGGAAACATAGGTATTGGAGAACATGGGGTAGACCCCCCAAAAAACTAAGGGTGACAGAGAGGGCTATGGAAAGAATAATGATAGGAGTAACAAAGGACGGACAGGGTGACAAATGAGGATCTAAGAGAGAAATCAAGAGTGCAGGACATTATTAAGACAATTAATTCAAAGACAGATAGACCGGGTGTAACACCCTAGTTTTGTGGTTGCAGGATACGGGTATGTCTATAGTTCTGTTGAGAAAAATACATCTTTTAAAATTCAAAGTTTTTTTTTTTTTTTTTTTTTTTTTTGCTTCTCACTGCGTTAATTCAACAACCCCCCTTCCTAGAACCTCATCATGAGAAGATAGATGATATTGATGAAATGGTGGTTAAAAACCCTATCAGCAGGTTTTTACAAACAGAATCCCAACAAGTTAGGATTATGTCTAGATGCTATAAAACTTGTAGACTCATCTCATGTTTATATTTTTTATTGAATTTATTTATGTGTTTTACGCACTTAATTTTTGTTTTTGTTTGTTTTGTTTTGTTTTGTTTCTCACTGGAGTTGTGTGACTGGTAATTTCAACTGAAAGGTTCACAATAACAGATTGTCGATAATTACAACAAGAAGGTTATGAGTAGATGTAAAAAACATTGCTCGATGAACAGCTGAGAACTTGCAGTATTATGCACTTCAGTTTATTGAATTTGGTCTCTTCTATTGTCAGTGATTGCATCCTAGATTGTCCAGTGGGCATTAAGTAATAAAATTGGTCACCAATCTGTGAAACTACATTTAAAGAGTTTATGTAGTCATCCAGTGACTTTTTTTACGGTTGGATTGAATGAACAATTGCAATGAGGAAGTGTTTAGTTATTAATTAAGCTTGACACACATTATTATGCGTCACACTTTCTAGGTTTGAATCTTTAAAATATTCAAGAGTAGTCAGAGACATGCTGAGATGTTGATTTACACAGTGTTTTTTTTCTGATGACGTATTGCTCTAGTATCATGCACTGTGTGTGAAAACTTCTCAGTCTGACAGGAATGTGTCTGCATGTACCGATAGAGGGCTGTATTGCATTATCACAGGTGTGCTCCTAACCAAATATAATGGCACTAGTATACATTTAGACAAATCAGATCATGCTATAATTTCTATCACAAAGGCCCCCTTCAATGGTGCAAGGGCAGATCCAGAACACATCCTTTGGGGGGGGGGGGCAAAAAACTTTGGTTCCCAAAAAAGTGGGTCCCAAAAATTACGGCTTCTGGATTCTACCGGTAGATGCTCTGTGGTATGATCTGAAGCACAATCTGACCACTTTAACCAAATATTTTTGAGGAAAAGATGGTGGCGAACGCAGTGCCTGCCTTAACATCACTTAACAAACAAATTGTTTTTGGTTTTTTTTGAAAGGGGGGGGGGCATGGCCGGATCCACTCTTGCAATGGTGAAAGCATTGTGGTACATGTAGCTATTGTTCAGATAAGCCATCACGGGGAAGCTGCTAAGTTGCACAATAGCTAGCCTTTAGTCAAGTCCCACGCGCCTATACCTGGACCATCCGGACACGTAACGCATCCTGGATGCTGGCACGTAAAAAGACTAGCACAAGCGGCAAAGCCGCGAGGGCCTTTACTATCTCGTGGAACTAATCACTTATTCATTTATTCACGTAATATAAATCAAGCAATATAGACCAATCATCTAACGGTGGTTTGCGGTTACCAGCAACAGCACGCGCACCATGGCTGTCTGGCACCAGACGACGGCTGCATGATTTACGTTAGTAATTCTGCATTTTCATTGGTCAATTCACAACGCGTAATGCATTATGCATGTCTACCAAATCGGTAGACAAATGTAAAGAAAAACATAAGCGTTCTCCACGAGATGGTAAAGGCCCTCGCGGCTACGCCGCTCGTCCTAGTCTTTTTACGTGTCAGCATCCGGGGTGCATCACGTGTCCGGGTAAGCGCGTGGGACTTGACTAAAGGCTACACAATAGCAAGCACTATTGTTTCTCAATTGGTGGGGGTCTCATGCGTGTACAGCGATCATGATGCCCTTATTCATCTGTACTGCTCCAACAGCTGTGTTCTTGGGCATCCATGTAACGGTATATTGTCATGCTTTTAACAAATAGTGTCCATGCTAAGTCTACATGTAAGCTGAAACATTCTACTCATGGATTTCCTTATGCTACTTCGTTAAAGGGAAAATACAACATTTGCAAACATCAAAAAATAAAACTACCAAATCATTTTGAAATACATGTACCTTGCTGGACTGTTAGTGAATGACAGTGTAAAGCATCCTGTAAAATCATGGCACCTGGTATACTGTCATTTTCAAGAAAAGTGGTATTTTTGTATCAATTTCCAACGCTGGTCGGCCGACCAGCGTTGGAAAAAAACTGGCTTTTTTTTTCAAATACTGGCCCCAATTGACCATCGCACTTGTTTGCAATCGATTACACACCTATGAACGGGTACAAGCCAGCTAGACTGGTTCCCTGACCTTACAATTCCCCAATGTATGTAAACTGCTCTGTTTCTTCTTATATGGAGTCAGGGAACCAGACTACAGGAAAATGATTGTTTTTCTTGGTTTTTATAGCATTTTTGAACCCAAAACCTCAAAAAAGTCAGTGTAACTATATTTGCTATATATTTCCAACCCCCCAATTCCATCCATTTCTGAAAATTACAGCAAAAGCAAATGGTGTATATTCCCTTTAAAGAAGAAGACAAACCCAAAAACACTTACTTTACTTCGAACTGTAATTTTTTCCCTGAAAAATATTGTTTTCAAAATTTGCTAATCACTGAATTACACATACATGTACCGGTAGATCCAAACTATGGTGGTATAACAAATACCGGTAATACTAATTGGGAAATTAATTTCATCTGTTACCTGTAGTGGATCAATTTGTCTCACATGTATGCAGTCTCTCATTTTCTATCTAATACTACAAAACTTTTCAGTTACTCGATTCGATCACTTACATTTTTGGAGACCATTCTTAAAAGCACTGATGTACAATCTTTAACACTGCTATTTGAAACCAACAACTTTTCTTGATTGCAACTGAATTTTACAAATATGAATGATTCATTAGGCATTTAACTGCACATCAATTTACTGTCCCACAATTATTAACTCAAAGTGGAATGTGTGTCATCTTTTAACATACTCTTAAAACACAAATTGTATACAGAACAAAACTGAAACCCAAAACATTTTGTTACTGAAAAAATTGTCACAACTAAATGAAGGCAGAAAGGACTGCTTTTTTTTGGGGGGGGGGGGGTTCTAGTTATTTTACATTAAAAACATAAAATCATTATAGGAATGTACACCATTTGCTTTTGCTGCAATTTTCAGAAATAAATGGATTTGGAGGATTAGTATGTTGTACCGGTAGCAAATATTGTTACACTGACTTGTTTCATGTTTTGGGTTCATAGATGCTGGAAAAACCAAGAAAACCAATCATATTCTTGTAGTCTGGTTCCCTGACCCCACTCAAGATGAAACGGAGCAATTTATAGACTTTGGCGGGGGAATGTAAGATCAGAGAATCAGTCTAGCAGGCTTGTGGTCTTCACAGGTGTGTAATCAATTGCAAAGAAAATGCAGATGAACTAAATATAAAAAATAAGGAGCACTTTTTGAAAAAAAAAACCAGTTTTCTCCAACGCTGGTCAGCCGACCAGCGTTGGAAAATACAGTTTTTCATGAAAATGTCAGCATAACAGGAGCTACAACTTTACAGGATGCTTTAGACTGTCGTTCCCTAACAATCCAGTAAGATATTTTGTGATAACTTGATCATTTCGTATTTTGATGTTTGCAAATGTTGTATCTTCCCTTTAAAAGAAGTGGTCATTGTGATAAAATAATTGGTGGCTTGTGCAAAGCTTATAACTCTTGAAAAAAAGTTTCATGAGTTTTTAAGACTTTAAAAGAAAAAGTCTGTTTCAATTGCATAAAATATTCATCAAAAGTGAAAGAAATCATTGTTTTTTCAAGCATTGGAAACTGCCAGTTAAAGATAAAGCAGAGTTCATTGACTTTGTATACATTTTGTCAATGGACGGCATTTGCATTCAGTAGCTGGTGTGGCCGGGTACAGGTAGCATGTCAACACTCGTGAATGAGACAAAAGCAACACGGAGAACCAGACCTGTTTGTCAAAAAGGAGGGGAAAAAAAGAAGTTGGAGACTAGAGAAGAAAGAGTGTTTGAACGCTGATTGGTGATTAGTAGTCTGAGGCCATCCACACCGCAACGACAACACAGATGCCAAAGGTTGAAGTATATAACCGACTATCATTGGGGGGCTAGGCCCCAGCGAGGCCACACGTCACGGTCACAAAGTTGCAAGTCGGGCCTGCAAGCCACTTGACACATTCTCCTAGGACAGGAATTAAACTGCGGGAGCCACTTGGCAAGCGGGCAGATGGACGTAGCGGAAAACACTTCACACCTCCCTTGTCCGTTCCCAACCCCCCGGGAGCACTACTTCGCCAGCTAAGGACTCGTCCACAAGGCATGCACTCCTTTTTTTTTGTTTTTTGGTTGGTCGTCTTCTTCTACTGTCCCCAACTTGTCAAATACAGGAGGGGCTTGTGTTTATCAGATGACTAATTTTCAAGCCAATGAATGGAGCCGGGGCCACCTTTTTAGTATATGTGTGTGTGTGTGTGATGGGGGGCTCGGACTTGTTTTAACCGGCAAGCCGCCGTCGCATCTGACAAATAGGTGAGAGAGCCACGACGCTCGTAGACAGGATCACAATGGCTGCGTGTTGCCCATCGTTGTCATGGCAGGCGCCCAGTATGGAATGCTTCATGTATCCAGAGCCTTACGCTACCAATCTGGATGCTACTATGTAAGTACCTGTAGGCAGGAGGCTTTTGTATACTCGCCGCGTTTCGGCACTCACGTACGTGCGGTCCGACGTGCCGACGTTACGCTAACAGGTTTGGGCCTATTTGTCTAATCGGGATGGATTGACTGTTTACTGTTTGGTTTCAGGACGGATGGCTTGATGCTCACAGTAATTGCTTAATTGAGCATTACTAAATTGGCCCGAGTGTTCGATTAATGATTAATTTCTCGACTGCATGGACACTTGGATTTCAAGTTTCAGTTCATGAATTAGACTATGATCAGGTTTTTTAAGATGTGCGTAGGGGAAAATGGAAATGCTTGTTAATTTGTTGTATTTGTCCAGAACAAGATGAAATGGAACATTTTGAACTGTTCAAATTCACTTCTTGAAATCGTATACTTTGTGCAAATGATAATTACTTTAGAATTAGATGTGATCAGGGTTTTAAAAGTTGCTTAGGGAAAAATCAAAAGGCCAGTCAATTAACTTTTTGTAATTGTCTTACAAGACAGCATGAAATAATTTGAACTGTTCAAATTTACTTCTTGAAATCACATCATTTTATGCGTAAACTTGTTCTGACAAATTCAGATCAATCTGAGCTGGAGTTGATTATGAATGATTGGTAGATTCTGAACGAGAACAAATTTGTCCTACTGCATTTTGTTGCATTTGTAAAGTTGTTTGTTATGTTCCATTTAGTAATGCATTGTCAAAGTTGGATTCTTTGGCATGTAGCATTTACTGAGTAAGAAAAAGATTTCAAGTGTCACCTTTCATTTTTGAATAGATTCAGCTGAATTGTATATCAGATTATAGATTTGAAAACATAGTTCAAATACATGCAATCAAAAATCTTTTTATTTTTTAATTCAATTGTAATTTTTTGGGGGGAGGAGTTAATTTTTTAGCCTGTGTGATGTCAAATTTGGCCAACATCTGCCTTATCTGTGCACACGACTAAAACCACATGTCAAGTTCTTCAAATGCATGATTTGTTTTCTCTGAAAGTAGTTTCTTGTTGAAAAGAAACTCCAGCTTTCTTATTGAAAGAAAATCTGTTCCTTTTGCCTGATGAGATTTTTATTAAAAAATTGGACGAATTACAGGTCATTTTTGGAAGAGTAAGACATTGTAAAGTGATTATAGTGTGCTTATTGGCAGTTGAAAGCCAATAAAAAGTCATTTTGTTTTAGAAAAGAGGTAAATAAATGTTTACTGTTCAGTTGAAGTAAATTTCGTTTACAGTAATTTCAAATTCCTTGCTCCTTTATCGCCAGATTTGAAATACGAATAGAAAAGCAAATGTATTCTTTAGTTAAAAAGTAAATTTCTTTTAATTGATAGCGGGTTATTGCCTGAAAAAAAGGGAAAATCACTTTGTTTTGTTTGGTTTTTAAACCCTGATGACAAAGGTTTTGCTGTTGTGCTTTTCATATTAATCTGACAAATTTCAATTGTGTCAAAAATGTCATAAAATGAAGCATTTTGTGTCATGCTCACACTATGATCCCTTTAATGTGTTGTGAAAAGTTTCAACTTTCCTAAGGGAAAATGATTGGCAACCTGTTTGTACAAAAGTAGAATCAAATGTCTTTTCCAGAAGGCTATTGAGTAAGTTCAATTCCTTTGAATAACTCGATTTTCCTGAAGTTAAATTGGTTCTGCATATGGCTTACATAAATGTCCCAATTTTGTGAACTTAGTTTTTTTTTTTACATAACATTATGTATCACACTTGTTATAGACAAATCCAGTGGCAGCCATTTTCTACAGTAGTGCAAGGTTCGCGCGAGTCGCGCTCAGGCAGAACACACACACACCAGGCTTCTTCGACCAATCGGAATACAAAAATGCGGGTGCGTCTCATCTTTAAGAATGCGTGCAGCATGCGTGTGAGCATGACACCACCGAAGTAAAAGCTTCTAATTCTGGTCGCTGGATTGCAATATACAGCCTGTCTAAAAAAAAAATGGTACAATTTTTTTTCAATATTAATCTCAACATAAGTAAGTCGTTTTGAGCATCACATTAAAGAAAAAAGACCAAGCTTTCCAATACTTTTTGTTTCATCTCATTTGCTTTTGTCAATCCAGAGATAACTCCAGTTTACTGCAGAACACAAAAATCGAGTTTGTTTCTTTTGCCAAGTTGCAATCTTTTGTGAGCTTCAAGACAGCATGGCACAGTACTCGAAACAACTCTGCCCATGCATAAAAGTGGCACAAAATCGATTTTGGTGTATAGCACTAAACTGATTATATCTCTGAATTGACATAAGCAAATAAGATCAAACAAACACTATTGGAAAGCCCAGTCTTTGTTCTTTAATATTATGCAAGATTATTTAACATTAAGTAAGAATGACTTATTTTGAAATTTCATATTTAACCAATTTTTTTTCTGATTGTACCATTTTTTTTTAGACAGGCTGTACTGTATATTGGAGTGGGTTGTTTGGAACTTGAAAACATGTTTCATTTTTTAGTTTTGTTAAATAAAGCTTTAACTGTACAAATGCTCTGTACTGCATACGGGCCTACAGCAAGCACTCCCATCACAATATGGGTACACTTTTCTGTGTTGTCATGGGCAAAGAACACAACCACAGACCTTATTTCTGATACATGAACCTAGAAGCAGAAACCCACACAAACTTGTGCAATTCTACTTTCCCACCGCGCTGACTAACAAGTATTGGATCCCGTATCATTCTTCCATTTGCCATGTTCCTCATCAGCTGATATAATGTGCCTCTTTCATCTCTTAGAATACACCCTTAGTCACGTCATTTTTGTTCCTCAATTAATTTATATTAATCTATAGCCTAATTAAACTCTTTACGTGCAGTGTGCTTTTCTGACCACTCAAAATGGCCTCTACTGCAGATAAAAAGCCAATATCCTCAGTTGCATTTTTTTTTTAATTCAAACTTTGTTCTCAGGCCTGCTAAGTTTATGATTTTTATTTTATTGATGAATCAGATTGTAGGCACCTTAGTTTTCCCTTTGCAAGCAAGTTATGGAAGTGCACTCTCAGGGCCATTGTTCCCCCGCCCCCTAAAACAAACCCAGTTTTAATTCTAAAGAAAAAAATATGTTTAGTAACGTCGCAAAAAAGGCAGCCATTTCCTACACCACCCCAAAACTCAACAAAAGCAATACATTTGCACCCCCTCTCCTTTCTTTTCATATTAAATTTGGGGCGAACATTTTATGGACCCACTTTTTCGGGAACAAAAATGTTTTTGACCCCCAACAATAATGTCCTTGATCCGGCTTTGCCCTTTTGCAGATAGTTTAAAACTGTAGAGTGTTTATTGTGCAAATGAAAAACAAGATTACCCACAATACCTGCCAAAACATAGCAGCATTGGGGCAGAAAGGGACGTGATTCCTTGTAGTGAAGTAAAGTTCCTTTCATTTTGAATACTGACACGCAGTTTACAGTTAATTCTAAAACTAAAAGTGTGTACTTGATGAAAAAAGAGATTATATGAAATGAACAAATTAGGGAGTTAATTCTCCAAGAAACAATCCACCATGTACATTGTACATGTAATAATTGAATACCTATGATGTCAGAGGGAAGGGTTTGTGCCATTTTTAATGTAGTTCAACATGTAGTTGTTTCACTGTTAATTCATTTTGTTCATACATTGTAGCTTAAAGAATACAGTGTACTGTGGCAAGAATTATACTCTCAGATTCACCAGCCATATGGCAGAGGACATTAGTGCGATCCGTCACTATACTGTCGTCATCCATGCCCGTGTATCTCCCCTCCATGGCCGCCGTACTTAGCTGACAACGTCCGGCAAATAAACAGTGCTTTATCTCTGCTCCCCAAAAATCATTAGCGTCCCTGCGAGGCGCGGCTGCGGAGGCCATGGTGGCAGTTATTGCATCATTTATAAGCCGGGCTTTGTGGGCTAACACTCGTCCCAAAGCAATAACTCAACAGAAAATAACAATCAGCTTCTTGGGCTTGACAGCGATCCGTCCGTCGCTGGAAATTGATTTCAAGTTATTCGTTTGAGGAGGTGCTCAAGTGGTCATACTGAAGGGAATATTACTCGGGTCTGTAATGAAGTGGCTCTCAGTCATTAGCCAGTAATTGAGATCCTTATCCGTGTATCATACTTCATTTATTAATCCATATCTTGGGTGTTTTTTGTCGGACCACCTGTGGGTGATTTGTATCAGTGACAAGGTTAATCAGTAATGGTTTGACCTAAATCAAAAGGAGGATTGAGTTTTGATTTTGTTTCGTTGGATATTGCAGGGAAACGCTAGCTTTGAATGTTTAAAGGTACAGTCCATCATTTGCGGCTATCCAAAAATGCAGCTATCCAAAAAGTAACAGACGAATTTATTGTTGAAAACCATACTTGGTTTAAAGATGGTAATTGGTACTAATAAACTCCCTATGAAATTATTCTTTCCAGCATGCTGTCATTTTGAAGAAAACAATAAAAGAAGGTCATTTCCACTGATGCGTCTAAGACGCCTTCTTGGAAATTTCCGTTAGTAGTTCATTTTTAATTTGGCAAAGCCGTGAATGAGTGCGCGCAAGCACTGACTCAACACACAGCTGTGAATGAGTGCGCGCAAGCGTTGACTTGACGCACACGTGCGCACGGTTGCTATTATTTGTCGGTTCAGTGTATGACATCGAGTAGCTGCAATCTGCTGAATGAGAACGTGTCCCGGACGCTGATTTCGGGCGCAATTCAAAACATGACTCAAGCAATTTTTGAATTGAAATCGAGATACTAGAATATTCTCGGAATATACAGCATTCACTGAGCTCAAACTTCATCAGGTTAGCTGTTAAGCACCCTTCTTTCGATTTTGAGCACTTTTGTTGCTTCAAAAAAAAAAATGCACACATTACAAATGATGTACATGTATTCTACCTATAAGTTTCTGAGGATTGCCAAATCTTGGTAATTTGTACACGTATACATGTACTTGCATTATTTACTTTATAAGTTATTAATGCAACGGTTGGAGTCCTTTGTATCACAAAATCTATTTCAATATTGTGTTTTACCCTTCACAATTGTACTTGTTTAGAATTTGTTTGATACATTGCTTCTTTCACAAAACCGAGAAATTGTATCCAAAGCAATGCTTCTGTGGGTGGAGTGGACATTGTGTAGCACTTGTCAACATAATTTTAGTTGTTGTTGTATATCTCGAACACTTTGGTTAATTAAAAGTTTGAAAATGAATAAAACTGCTGCAAAAGTCTTACTGACTGGATTGACCTGAAATACACAAATAAAAAAAATTAGTGGTCTTCAAGGAAATGTTTTTCTCATGTTGTGCTGCACATGTAACATGTGATCACAAAATGAGCTTATAAGTCGTGATTTTTAAGAATTGAGATGTTTGTTATCTGGATTCTGCAGAACAAGAGCTTTCCAATGGTTTACATTATTTAGGGGTACTGAGTTCACTAATGGAAATATAGGCCACCAACTTACTTGACGTAGTCAAACTTATTCTTGAGAAAATGGCATTTAAAAACACAACAAATAAAATGAGAAAGGTATAGCAGCCTGCACAGTACTTACAGTTTGAGGTTCACCTGAAAACAAAAATTGACTATCCTTCATATGTTGGCTTTGCCCCACTATACTGCAAAATGGCAATTTCCAACTTAAAGCTCAATTTGTGGTGACAGGTCACATTTTGTGCAGAGGCTGATATGCGGTACATGAACACAAATACTGTTAAATTTTGAAAATCTGAGATGTACCGGTGCAATGTATTGCCAAACCTGAAGGACCGGCTGACTGTCCTAATTATATCCTAAAACTGATACTTTCAGGTTAAGCTCACCTAAACAAGCCTAGTCTTGTTTAGTTGTTTAATCTGTTGCTTGTTGTGGACTTTTATTCGGGGGGGGGGGGGGGGGGGGTGTTTGAATGACACATTGAAATTTGATAGCTTAGTTAAAGCGCGAAAACTAGCAATTCAATTTGAAAATTAATTTTTAGGGTGCCACACTTCCAAAGGCAAGGAGAGTTCTGCTTTAAGCCTCTTGATTCTCAAACTCATACGCATTTGGACAAACTGGTTTTTAAACATTTTTCTGTAAATGGCCGCCATTTCTTAATTAAAGCTTCATTTTCAACGCCATTTTCACCAAGATCTTGTAGTTTAGGAATATTTTAAAACAATTTCAACATGTCTCCCCAATTTTGAGAAATGTGCGTCTGAAACAGTGTAAAAATATTTTAGGACCACCCTGTACAATGAAAACATGCCTTGGTTCGTTGTTTCATACACCTGCTATTTGGATTAAAACCCTCCTTTCTCCCTTCTTTTGTGTTCCCAGGATCATTGCCCTTCGCAAGGAGAAGTCCCGGGATGCGGCCCGCAACCGGCGCGGCAAGGAGAACTACGAGTATTACGAGCTGGCCAAGATGCTTCCCTTACCGGCCGCGATCACCAGCCAGCTGGACAAGGCGTCCATCATACGGCTGACCATCAGCTACCTGAAGATCCGTGACTTTGCCATGCAGGGTGACCCTCCATGGCATCACTACCCAGACGGGCACAGTGGTGGGATGAGCAGGAGTCTGTCCTCGGTGTTGCAAGGTGGGTGGTGGATGGAGGGTAGAGGATGAAGTGGCAGGGAAGAGGAAGGGTAGGACAGGGGGAGCCAAGTATCTCATTTCAGTTTTCAATTCCAATTTTGTTTATCTCCATCAACTGTAGCGTGTGAGCAATTCCATCGTTACGGACGTTACATTTAGAGCCTACTCAGGGTTCGGAATTAGAGGTAGCCCGCTAGCCAAATGCTAGTCAAAACAGCAGCGGGCTAGTCAAACTATTCCTTAAGTAGCCCGGCTGGCGAGTCAAAATATTATTAATTATAGAAATAAATCATTCAATTCAGGAAGTAAACCTCATCAATTTTTGTCTAGTTTTTTTAACTGTTTTAAAGGGAAGATACAACATTTGCAAACATCACAAAACGAAATGATCAAATTATCACAAAATACCTTACTGGATTGTTAGGGAATGACAGTCTAAAGCATCTTGTAAAATCGTGGCTCCGGGTGTTCTGGCATTTTCAAGAAAAACGGTATTTTTCCAACGCTGGTCGGCCGACCAGCGTTGGAGAAAACTGGCTTTTTTTCAAAAACTGCTCCTATTTTTTCATAATTAGTTATTCCGTGTTTTCTTTGCAATTGATTACACAACTGTGAAGGGGTACAAGCCTGCTAGACTGATTCTCTGATCTTACAATTCCCCAAAGTCTATAAATTCTCTGTTTCATCTTAAGTGGGGTCAGGGAATCAGACTACAGTACAAGAACATGAATGGTTTTCTTGGTGTTTCCAACATCTACAAGCCCAAAACGTAAAACAAGTCATTTTAACAATATTTGCTTTAACATACTAATCCTCCAAATCCATTTATTTCTGAAAATTGCAGCAAAAGCAAATGTTGTACATTCCCTTTAAAAGGTTAAATTATTAGATCTGTTTATTAAGAACACTGAAAAAATTCCCTCAGAATTGAGCCTGAAAATGCACCATTTTGTATTTGAGCTAAAAAAAACCCTGCGGGCTAGTGAAAATGCCCGCGGGCTAGTTAAGAGGCTGTTTCAGTAGCCCGGCTGGCTAGTGAACACAAAAGTTAAGGTCGAACCCTGCTACTGCCTAATTTCAATAAACACAATAAAATAGTTGCAGTGAAAGCTAATTTATATATTTGGGACAACTTTAGTTTAGGCCTTAATGTAGAACATGACATGGTTAACTTGGTGTAAGCTGAATTAAATACTCACTGTAAACGACTGTTACAGACGTTACGCATTCAGACATAGGTGTTGACTCTCAGTACACATTGATAAAAGTCTGTGAAGTTTTTTGCAACTATTCAATGAAATAACTATGTTGTGGTAGATACAGCTTCACTCTGTACAAACACCAATGACATTTTACAAAAAGCTATACTTTGATGTTATGGAAACATCACCCTTTTTTTTTGTTACGGACATCATGTTACAACGATAGGGATGTTACGTGTCTAAAATCAATTTCACACCCATGATAAAAAAAACGACTGAATCATGGTATTTAAAATTCTGTGTGTTATTTCTTTTTTTATGAAATACGAACCTTTCTCCCTGCCTTAAAAACAAAAACTCACAATAACACTTGCATTTTGCATGTGAAACAAGATGCCAAAATGACTAGCTAAAATTCATAGTTTTAGCCCGAAAAGTCTGGAGTCTGGATGCTGATAATTATCCTCGCCTTCGGCTCGGGTAATTATCAGCATCCAGATTCCAACCAGTCTTAAACAAGTGTCTAAAACCGGCCAAACACACATTTAGTCCATTAATTAAACACTGGAAATTTCAAAGAAACAAAGGCAGACAAATCAACAAATGCTGGAACATGTGGACAGAAAGCCCAGCCAATGGACATTTGAATTTTGAATGGTTCCACTGATTTATATAAGTTGAAATTTGAAAGTTGTTTTATGGGTTTCCCTTTTTAGGTCGTTTTTCCCAGCAACATTCTGGAATGTCTGCTATTGCACAGGAGGTGTTTGAGCATAATCTTGGCGGCCACATTCTGCAGGTAGGAGAAATGGTTCTTGTAGCTGTTTGTGTAACAAATGTGACCGGCTCCACCAAAAAGGGTATTATGTCGCAAACAAATTGAGTTATATAGATGGTTGGAAAGCCCACAATGTAAGCTTTCAATCGATATATAATAGAGCTCCATAGCCCATCACGTTCTGGAGATACCATGTATTTGCATATTACTTACTTCTTTGGAGTTCAAATTACACAACTGAGAAAACAGGCTTTGAAATAGCTGGCTTTGTTGTAGAACAACAGAACGATGCACACAAACTGGTTGTTTTTTTCTATTTTGTTCATCAAAATCAACATTTCTGTGAATGAAACCTGAAACTGTAGGTATTAATTGAAGATGACATTCATGACAAAAAATGAAGATCACATTTTGACGAACTTTTCACCCTCTCAATGTTGAGCGGACCATTACACAATTATGCTCAACGTGACGTAATACCCTTTTTTTGTGGAGCCGGTAACAAATATCCAGATTTGTCAAGTACAATTAGGCCCACAAGTATGTGATTGGTTTTTTTTTTTCAATCAGTTAAGGCCCCCCCAAAAAAGGCTCCGGTTTCTGGTATGCGCGCGCGTCGCCGTAGCCATGCGCGTCGGCAAAATGAAAAAAAAAATTTTCAATGAAAGATGATGTCTCAAAACCGCCAAACTCACTGGTTTGACTGGAATGCTGCTGCTGCACAATTTTAACGTGTTTTTAGATTGGGTTATGGTCGAGAATAAGCTTGATGTGGCCTCTCTGGACTCCCATATATTTGCACTAAGTTTAGTCGGGCACCATTTGCAGTCATCAGCACACATTTGAAGCAGAAAAATCAGGAAAAAAAAACTTTTTGGGCAAGCTCCATACCAGAAACCGGAGACTTTTTTTGTGTGGCCTAATCATTCCTTTTTTCGGTTTTAATTGATTGAGTAGCCTATTTATTTTTTGCATCAATTGAAAAATATATAAATGATGCCCACATTGGAAGTTTCAACAACCATCCCATTTACTCACCAGTTTCTCTACTTTAGTCCTCACATTTTTTTTCACCAAGAGCATGTGTCTTTGTGTTCACCCTCCCATTTTTGAAAGAGTTTGGTGGATTTTTCAAGATTTGGGAGCGGAGGACATTTTCTTTGCCTTTGCTTTCACCAAGTAGTCTCTGATTAATTGAACTAAAAAAGTAATCAATAACCAACATAACAATTGATTAATAATAGAATTATTGTTGCTGGCCTATTATAAAGCCTGCCACACGGCAACATTATAACCTTTTCAGAGACCATTTCAATTTCCCAGGGAATGACCTGGTGTTCACCAAGTAGTCTTTGATTAATTGAACGAAAAATATAACTAATACAATCAACATAACAGTTGATTAATAATAGAATTATCATTGGGGCATATTATCAATCGTGCCACAGGCAACATGATAACCAGTTTGGAAACCATTTCAATTCCCCAGGGAATGACAAACCTGACATAAAACCGTTGCCTCTAAGATTTCCCCAGGTTACTTCACTAGCGGCAGGCTTAAAATCCCGCTGAATTTTGCAGAGCCCTGAATTGATTAGCAGTAAAGCTAGACAGTTTACCCTTTTAGTTTATTTGATAACGTCCAACTTTGCCAGTGTTAATAACCCAGTTGGTTGTGTTTTCTATTCCCTTATCCAGGCCTTTGATGGGTTTCTCTTTGCGTTGAGCAATGACGGCAGATTCTTGTACATCTCAGAGACAGTATCCATCTACTTGGGCCTCTCACAGGTAAGACTTGCTAGGTCTCAGTTGAAACTATACAGGTGTCTTGAAAGCTTTGGGACCTACTGTGGCAAAATGAGGAATGTCCCCCCAAACCATGTTTTGAGTAATCAACGCCTGAAGTTGGGTTCACTAAACAAAATTATGTCAAAATTAATATTGTTTTTTTCTTATTTTTAAGTAGCTAAGGTATCCAAGATTCACACTATGCATTTTTGTTGAGAAAAAAATATCCCCAAAAGTTGGAAACTGAAGAACGTTTTGCACTGCCATTGGCAGCGCCATGCGTTATTTCTTTTTTCAAAGCCGTTTTTCTCGAAATGGGGTTGGCGAAATTCGGCGAGACACTGTTAAAGTTCCTGCGGCATATCTTTGGAATGAATTAAGTTACGGAAATAAATTTGGTATCATTGGAAAGCCAATTATTTGTGCTTTAACATGATGTACGTAAGTTGAAAAAGCAAAGGTGGGGTATATTCCTCATTATGAAATGGAAGGTCACTTTTGACCAAGAAAGCCTGTGTACATGTATACATGTATGTGCGTGTTTATGGTGTAAATTGAGGACACAAACATGCAACATCATCGATGAATTGAGGACAGGAACCAAATCGAGGACGACCTCGATTAGAAAACGTGTACAAAACCAATAAGAGCTCTTGCAAGAGTACAAACAAAGGAAAAGGGAAGAGGACAATTGAAAATCCTCGATGTGCACCATAAACAAACGTGCGTCAACGTATAAACACTGCCTTATGGGGTACCGGAGCAATGGGAGGTACCCCACAAGGAATGCCCACCGACTTGCAGGGTACCGTTTTGGCCCACAAATTTTTCACGAAATAGATATATGGATTTTACTCAAAAACTAGGAATTTCCAAGGTGGGTTGATCCGTCGCAAATGGAGTTTTAGAAAATGGATATTAAATCCGAATTTCAGCCCTGGAAATTAATTCTGGTTAAAATAAGAGCATTTTGAAATTAGTGTGCGACATTGCAAAATTTGAGTACACGAGCACAAAGAAAGTACCCCACTTCTATGCCTGTGTAAGCATGCGTTTGCTTGTACGTGTTCAAAAGGAATCTATCACCTGGTTCAAAAGAAAAGTATTAGTAATACTAATAATACTTTCAATCGAAAGTATTAAGAGAGACTCTTGTTAATCCAAATGGACTTTTGTTTCAGAGTGGGGAACTTTATTAATTTTTCATTAATTTTTCATTTTATTGACTCTGTAATTGCAACAAACAGTCAATCTTTAAATGTAGTTGCTCCTAACTGATTTAAACGAAGAACCCTTTATGTGCTTGATTCAAATATTTGAAAAAATTTGGTTTGGCGTGACACTGAAGCAGCAGTGTGTTGGGTGTTTATGTGTCCGTTAATTCAGACTGATCATTTTTTTTTTCGCTGTGAAAAGTGCGGGTTAAGACATAATGTAAATGTATCATTTGACATTTTTTAGGTCCATGCATGTACAATGTAGCAGCAATGCATTTTCAAACCCCCGTTCAAACTTAACAAATGTCAATAGGTATAAAGCATTTGAAAATCATTGTCTTTGTAAGGTTGCTTGTATAATGTTTTTAATATTTGTGTATTATTCAAAAAAAGAAATTACAAACGAGTCAAAACATTTGCTGGTTTAAAAAAAAAAGGTCTGTAATAAAAAGTCTCCAGAAATTGTTTAGTGAGAAACGTGTGGCAGCAAAACAGATAAAATAGCAGTTCTCACATCCAAGGTCTAAAAATTCGAGACTTTTTTAACATACTTTCCAAAATCACAATGTGCCTATAGAAAACATTTTTCCTCTTTCTGGTAATGTTCAAATTTTCTGTTCTTGTAGCATACATTTCTAAATTATTTCATTTTGTTAGCTAATTTGAAATACTGTTATGTTTTTTTAAAATTCTAGTAGACCTACATTACAACATTGATGTATCGCATATAAAACAAAAATGTGTCGGTTTTTTTTTCATCAAATAATTGATACGAGATGTTATTTTCAAATCAAGCTTGTCATTGGCCAGACTGTGTGTGATGTCATCCCCCGGTATCAATTCAGCCCCAGTGATTGGCTGAACTCAGGATTAAATATAAACCCACTTTGTTTGGTCTCTCCACACCTGCACGTCAACTACACGCTGTTTTGTGGAGAAGACTTGTATTCAAGCCGTGTTGATGCATCGTAATGCCAAGTAGAGCCCCACGTGTGAGAATTCCCGCTAGAAGTGTCAGATTTGTGCAAGTTTGCAGGAGATGAGAAGCGCCGTGCATCGCAAGTGTGAGAAGTCTTTCCAAGTGGAATGTGTTATACCTACACGCCGCGGATGCGCCAAACTTGGCATATTTGTTTAGAAGATCGCTGGTGTAGGTATAGGCAGTGCCTTCTCAAAATAAGTCTCCACTTGAAACTGATACGAGCAGGGAACAACTCGACAGAGCTTGTTTACAAGCGCACTGATTTTCAGGGCACGTAATAAGTTTTGTTCAACAACAGGTATGGGGGGGGGGTAACCATGTTGCCAAAATGTACATCTAAGTTACAAAAATAACGTATAGGTAGTATGTAGCAAGACTTTAAAATAAGAGATCAGTTGAATAAAATACAAAGAAAGGAGAGTTCCTGCCTTGTTGAACTTCCTCAAAATGCAAAGGAAGTCATTCTATTAATACAAGCTGGAAATAACTTGGCAATGGAGGCGAATTGTTTCTGGATTGGAAATGCCTCAGTTTTTTAAGGTGGGGGCTCGGGGTATACGAACAAAGGGTGGTCCCCGTTATTGTTGTGACTAACCTCTGGGCCATATCACGCTCTGTCAGACTGCATGGATCGCTCAGGCATATAGTGACGCGATTATCATGCCCAATTACACCGTCATGTGTGCCGGGTATTCCCAGAAGAGCGGCGCAGCGCGGCGGGGGAAACGGCAAGGGGTGTCAAAATAGCCTGGGTCTTTCATACATACAGCTGTGAAGCTGCCACGATCGCTGATTAGCCTCGCTTCCCGCCACCTGGGCCGTCTGCGTGTTGGCGCGGGGTAGTTTTTTCTTTTTTTCCCTCTCTGTTTTTCTTACACTTTCCTTGGCACTGCAGAAGCAGCGCCGGTGAAGGCATCAGCGACTCTGCCGCGATCAGGGGACTCAAAGCCGACTACGGTACAAGGCTAGGTGGGTGACTTTTAGCAGGCAGCGTATGATTCCGGCCACATGATCGTGTGATGATTAAACAAAGTGAGGATGTCAGAGACAGGGTATTGCTTACAAGTTTACAGTTTCCAAATCTGTCCCTGGGAGGCGTGATTTAGGTCACTCTGAATTTCTCAGCAACTTCTTTGATATTCATATACTTTTCCATTTTTAATTAACAGAGGGAAATTTTTTTGATAAACGTTTTACAGTGATTGAAAACTATATGTGTTCAGTGTTAATGAAGAGTTTTAAAGAAGACTGAAGTGAGTGTTATCTTCAATATCCTTTGTCTTAAACAAATGCTTTCAAAACAATTTTTTTCTGTGAAACAGAATTTTTGTGTGCCAATTTCGCAGAATGAACACCTGAAAACCAAATGAAAATGAAAAGTTAATTATTGGAAGAACTGTTCTTTTTTTTAAATGAAAATTGCATCAAATACAGAATTTGAATCAATGAGAGCTTGGTTGCCAAAGGGGGGAAAAGCACGCAGGATGTGCGTTTGACTTTCTCCCAGACGCTTCCATTAACACCAAATTGACTGTACAAGGCCCCCGGCCTAAAAGCTACGCCCCCTTCAATTGCCTACTTACGGCCTGTTGACCTGGGGTCCACAGTGTATCAAGTTTTTTATCCAACAACTCACAGGTGCAACTGTGTTGACAATGATCTCTGGGCTTCAAATTGCCCACAAATGGAGTGAACAATTCCTCCCTTAATCCTTCGGTATATTTGCGTCTCGGTTAGGGCAGCCCCTCAAGCGTTGGAAACCTCTCCCCCTGCTTCAAAGCCGACTCTATTCCACCGGTTTTTAATCGCTGCTGGAGTGGTTAATCAGGAGCAGATACTTCAGGCACGGCTAGGCGCTGTGCATAGAGAACGATGTGAGGAGCGATCAGTCGGCTGTATTTGACATATTAAGGCCCTGAGATGCTTTGTTATATCGTACGATTGCAACAGCTTATGGAGGCAGGTCTTCACAAAAGAAATTGACAAATCAAGTTTAACATTTTTTTTACGGTTTAAAAAGCTTAAAGTGAGTGTTTTAATCAGTCAAGCCCACTATTTTTGGTCATTCAATCCATTAAAACAATAATCTGAAACGACTGGAAACTAACTGTTTTCATATTTCTGACACATACAAGGTCTGCAAACATTATAATCAATATCATGTATTTTATTTAAAAAATAATTGAGGTGATACAGTTTGAAGTCCAGACTTTCCTTGAGCCTAGCCCTGGCTGGCATACACGATTGGTTTTGATTTCCAAAGCACTGTTGTACAGTTATAATGGTTTGACTTTCCCTAACAACATTTTCTGGCCTTTTGTGGTTTTGCATATTTTAAGAATTTATACAAACTGAAGGCCTGAATTCATAAGCCATAGGGTGCTGGGGAGGTTTTGGCAGCACAAGGAGTAACAGGTGGGGCAGTTTTGGGCGGTTTTGGGCAGTGGTTTTATTTTCACCCGAGTCCTACACGAAGTGATGACACTCGTAAGATTTTACATGCACATGTACTGGTACATGTAGCTGTTGGGTAATTCCGTGAGAAAATGGCTTAAAAATTGAAAAAATTATGACATCTTCAAGACGTCAAGCATCACAACCTCAAGTGTGGTATCATCTTAAAGGGGACAATAAGACCTTTCATTTAAGTGATTTGGCAGTGAGATGGAATATTATTAAGATTTGTTTATTTTATCAAAAAAACTCTCTTTTTTTTGGCTAAAAGTATGGATTTTAGGAAGTCATTTTAGCACCTTGTTTTACATGCAAAATGCAGTTGTTAATGTGAATCACACCCCAATGATGTAAGGGCACTGAAAATATCTTTCTATTTGTTCACAGTATTAAAAAAATTTCAAATGAAGGGTATCTAAATTTGTTGGACATTTTTTTGTAACGTGAGTTAATACCGTCAAAGTACCGATGTGTAGTTGTTGTCAAACCAACAAAAGTGTATTTTGTATTTTGCACAGATTCGACAGAAGACCCTCTCTAAATGCAACGCGAGTTACCATGGCATCGCACTGATAGGATTCTTACCATTGTTTCTGAAATATAACCAAAAAAATCCAAATGGTTAAAGATTTGATTCTAACTCTCCGTAGGTGGAACTGACAGGCAGTAGCGTCTTTGACTACATCCACGCCGGGGACCGTAACGAGCTGGCTGAGCAACTGGGTATGAAGCTGCCTCCACCCCGGACAATGTCTCAATCCTCGCTGGGTACCGGCAGCAGTGATGGTTGCCAGTCATCGCCTATGGATTCCCCAACGTCTCCGCACAGCGAACGTAAGTCAAATATTTTGAAGGGATTAAATTTTCAGAAGTTGAATTGGTTAAAAATGTGTTCCCTGTGCTATTTTCGAGTTTCATCTCGAAAAATAGATTCTAATTTGTAAATTAAAAGGTTAGAGGGGCCTGATAAATGTCGTCTTTAGCAAAGTCTTCTTCAGAAGTCTTTGGATACTTCATGAGCCGGGCCTTTTATTTTAATCTTTTCTTAAATTGGTAGTTTTGTAGCAATAATGAATGAGACATATGGACCAAACACATTGGCCCGTGTTTAGTTTTTAAATTGTTACTTAACAATTTCAAATTATGGCTGCCTGACAATCATTTCTTCCTGGCAGGGTTGGCTGGTTTCCGCCCCACTTTGTAACTGTTCCATCTAGTACCGTTTTTCTGTTTGCTTTAATTCATAATAAGTGAAAGGGAAACAGTGAAGAGGAAAAGTACAGTATCTCTAATTTTGTTACTTGACTAGCCATTTTTGTAAAATCCAAGCACGTTTAAGTAACGTGGGACAAGTGTTTATTGGAGGTGGCTAAGGCAAATATCATAGACATGATAGAGGGTCATTTCTGTGGGATATCTTTTTCATTTGACACAAAGTAAGAGTGTTAAGAGACAGTCGCTGAGTGTTGATCGTCGTCCGCAACTTTCATCAGGACGCCTCTCTGGAGTGTTTTCAGTCGTTTAATTGAAGTTGTACAATAGCGGAGCTCCTTCCTCCCAAGAGAGCCAGGTACCGGTGATAGCGGTGATACAAGTGTCGTGCCGACTACCTGATGCCAATACCAATGGTGGGTCGTGCCGGGCTGGATGCGGCCAGTTTGGCAGCGGCTTCACGTAGTATCGTTCTGGAGTGCCGACTCTTGAGTGGCAGCAACTCCGATGTGTCAGCGTGTCAGTGGATACTTGAGCCGGGCCGGGTTTATTAGGAAACAGGCAGCAGTGGAAACACTTGTTTCATCACACCGGCCTGGTGTCGGATCCCGCCATCATCATACCACTTTTGACACCAGCGTCGAGATGTTGACACTACCACAGGAGTGGCATGCGGGGCGGGGCTTACACTCATCGAAAACAAAAAAAGGGGGATGGTGAAGTTGGACAGGCTGCTGTTTACCGACTACTCGCAGAAAGTGAAGCCGTCAAAACTTCATGAATTTAGATTGAGTCAGTGCGCAGTGGGGCACTGTGCCTATTGGGTCATGGTCAGATGTGATTAGCTCATCGCCGGTCCCGGCGGGAAGAAAGCAAGATCACTGTGTTGTATCTGCTGGGGATGGCGTGTAATGAGATGAGATGCATACACTAACCTCATTTCCTTAGGATGTAGGGAGGGGGAAGACCAAGCATGAGATGGTAAAGAAATGACATGAGTGGATAGGAGGAACCGGGAAGAAAGAGGCAAAAAAGAGATTTGACGGGTGACAAGTACTAAAGAGGTGACTTAAGGACAAGGACCAGGGAAAGAGGGAGTGACCTTTGAGGCAAAAATTTCTGAAAGAAGATGTAAAAAGAAAAACTTAATGAAAACATTTGAAAGACATAAGGCAAGGGCTTCTATTTTTGCCTCTATCAACAAAGAAAATACAGGAACTGTTTACATAGTTATCACTCTTGGCAAGGAATTCAACGATTTTTCTTTCAAAAAATTAGGGCAGAGAATGCAGCAAGACATCTGATATTTTTGTGGTCATTACAATTAATGGAGTCAAATTGTTCAAAAAAGATTCCTGGCTGTACCTGCAATTCAGGGAAATTGTTGGAAGATGCATTTGAAAAGAATACATGTTGAGGAGATTTCAGGATTCAGGAAATTTGACTTGGTGTTTAGCACGAGAAAAGTGATGGGATAGAGAGGAAATGGATGTTGAAGATTGAGACCAAATAAGAGGGAAATACTGCATTGAAAGAAATTTTATTTTTTAATTTTTTAATCTAGATTAAAAAAAAAAAATTAATAGCTGGTTAAAAGAGTTTATAAGGAATTGTAAACCTCGCCCCCCCCCCCCCCCCCCCCAAATAATTCAGTGCCAAAACATGGAAGTGTTGGATGTTCATAATTAACGTGTCATACACTCCGGGGCAAAAAAAGAAAAGAAAAATAGAAAGAAGTGAAAAGAGAAGAAAAAAATCCTGAAAGTAGAACAAGATGTTGGTTGTGCTCCACTTTGCCTGTAGCGTGGCTTAAAATGTGTCACATTAGGGCCCTATCTATGACCACTCTGTAAACAATATCATTCTCCTCAAACAAAAGTATGGATTTGGAAGACCCTTATCCAACACGGAGGTCTTTTTTTCTCTTTTTTCCTTCCCCGACCGTGAGCTCCCTACGGCAATCCGCACACCCCAGTGCGAATCCAAACCTACGCGCCTATCGCATTTCCCCCAGACTTCGCACATTGTAACTGGAACCAGGCAACAGCTTGCTGGCAAATTTGCCCGAGGGTCTCAGAGGAGGAAGATGAGATGAAGAAACTGCCGGCAGCGTTCTCTCTTCCTTTCCTTCTTCTCTCGCTCGCTCGCTCGCTCGCTCACTCCGCCGTTCTCTCTCCCGTTCTCTTTTCCAAACGCCGTCGCCTCCTCAAGACCTTGTCCCCTACCCGCAACATTAAGCAACATTCAAATGTCAATCTGGTCTGAAACCGCTCACGCACGACTGATTAAATTTGAAAGGGGCTGGGTGTGAGGTGCTGAAAGTTTGATGAGGGTTTCGTCCGCGCGTTGGCTCGCCGACATATGCTCCCCTCACTGATTGGAATGCATAGGGAGTACGCGCCGGCCGGGTCCCCCCGTGTGCTTAGCTCAAACCATGCAAGCTGAATTAGATTGGACCGGACTGGCTAAATGCTAATGAGACATCAATATGCAAATTGGACGGGGAGTGGTAGTTTTGCGGAAGGAGGGTGGAGGGGGGGGGGGGATCGAATCAAAAAGGATGGCAGACAGACTCAACTAGATCCCCAGTAACCCCCTCCCCTTGCCTAATCAAGGGTGCAGTGGTCTGTTGGAGTCCACGCGGTGTAACAAACGGACCTTGTTTGCAGCTTTCGCTTGATTACGTCGTCTGAAAGTCACCGGGGAAGACAGGAAGGGTGGGATTTTTTTATGAAGAGAGGGTTTAAGATGTCGTGTCAATTAGGTCATGCTTGATTAATTACATGCCTCCCCAAGGCCCAAAAATGTAACAGGGGATGGGCAAAAGAGAATGACACCTGGGTGACGGTCTTAGGAAATTCCAGTGACAATTTTTCCCCCTTTTTGTACTGGTACCAATGCATATTTTTTTTTGCATACATGATTTAGCTTATCCTTTGCCTGCTTTGATGCAAAATGTAACACTTATTTTTTGCTTCTTTCATACTTGCAGAATTACATATTTCTCAATATTCTAACAAAACAAAATCATTGACTACTTTGTCAATGGTGCAGGCTAGCTGCCTTCTCTTCTTCAATGCGGTGAATAAATGGAAAAAAATCTGTGAAATTTCTTTTGAATTTTCATTTTCTTAGGAGTCTATTTAGCTCAGTTTTCTAAATAATCTATTTCTATTTAGGTTATTTGTGAGGCGTTCTTGCAAAATGAGACAGAACTGGGCAAAGGTCGAAATGAGAGTTCTAGTGTATAAGAAAGAGAATAAAATTCCCCTTGCAATACTGTTTGTGACACTTCAATTGGACATTCCGTTGACAACTTGTGGCTGTTTAAAGTTCGCATTTATCGACATATCGAGGAGAAAGCCTTCAAAGTTTCGAGTTAGTAGTCGTGAAACTGAAAGATGCCAATTGTTTTCCCCTAAAATCATGTGTAGAAGACATATCAAGGATTGCAAATATCAATCAATCTGAAAAATTGGGGAAAAAATCATCCCCAATGTTTTTTTTTGTACTTTCTCCACTACGACCTGTGCCCAGTTCCATTTCATTTTGCTAGAATGCCTCACATTTATACCATGGTAAACCCAAAGTAGTGAGAGTAAAATATATCAATAATAAACAATTATTATTTGGGCCCTGCAATTAAAATATAATAAAGGAATCAATTGGATTTATAAGGATGAAAAAACAAAAGTAAAAAGCAAAACACTAGAAACTAATACAGGGTGGTCAAAAAAAAGTTAACTTTTTTCAAAGGCAAATTTCTTATATTTGAAGAGACATGTTGAATTTTTTTTAAGATATATTCCTAAACTACAAGATCTTGGTCATATATGGTGAAAACGGCGTTAAAAATAAAGCTCAAGTTAAGAAATAGTGGCCATTTTACAGAAGAATGGTCAAAAACTAGTTTGTCCACGTCAATGGCAGTCATGTAGGCCTAATTACAATTATTGCAATTCTTTGTGCGTGCAGTGATATTGTGTTGACTATATCTCATAGACTTGCATGTGGGCAATCTGGTTTTTGACCATCTTTCTTTAAACCATCGTCATTTCTTAATTTAGGCTTTATTTTCAGTGCCATTTTCACCATATACCACAGAGAAACTGTAGTTGAGGATTATCTTGAAACAATTGTAACATGTCTCCCCAATTCCAAGAAATCTACATCTAAAACAGTGTACATGTTTTTTATTTTCGACCACCCTGTTTACACTGAAAGTGTAGTTAGCAAAGAATTGACAAAAAAAAAAAAAACGGAAAAAATCTAATCCATACATTTGTGTCGGTGTAATAAAGGTGACATTAAATATACAATGAGATAATTTATATGTATTAACCAGTCAAGCATGGCCAGTCTTGTCCTGGGAGAACGCCTCAAATTTTGGCCCTTACATATTAATGTGATTATTGCACCAAGATAACGGCCTATTGGCCCCTAGAGACAGTTCCCCAACTACAGCCAACTAACCCCCTCTCTGAAAGAAAAAACCCTCGGGTCCTGATGTGGTGTTTTATTCATTGTGTGCATCTGCTAACTTTAAAAGTCATGAGGTTAGTGGGATTCTGTTGTGTAAGTGGTAGAGGAATATTTCGTTGCACAACAACGAAAATGGATTACTCGTGCAGAACTGGCCAAACTATTGGTGGAAAAAGAATTGGTGGGTGAGCTCAGCTTGTTGAAAGGTCAAACTAAAGAACTGAAGAGAATCATCAGAATTTCATTAAAAAAAGATTCACTTTGTCATTAATACTCCACAAATTGTTTTCTTCTCATCATCTGTCTTTCTGGAGTCTTTCTGAAGTTTGGTGCGTTATTAATCTCCGCTGCATACAATGTAAAACCTTCTGGCTGAGGCGTGCACCCACAAAACCCTTTCTGTGTTTGGAAGTAGTTTATTTTTGTCTGCTTATAAAGGGGTTATGAGGGCCCCCTCTCTACACGCTCCTTGAGTGTCAAACAGTCAATGTATTTACTCCCCTACTCCAGTCAGTCTGGTGTACAATTAGGTTGACTGATTAGTCGATACTTTGGCCTGACGATTTTGTCAGACTCTGTCACTTTTAAATGCAAATGTATAAACAAAAAACTAACAGAGTTGTCGATGTTTTAAAAACTTCTTTCTTTTAGAAATAAATCATCAGATTTTTAAATTTAAATTTTTTAATTTGTCAATTTCTTTTTGATTTTGTAAATCAACATTTTTGAAAATATAATTATAAACCAATCACACTTTGATTTTTATTGTAAATCAAAATATGTCAGAAAATTGTTTATGCCTGTTAAATAAAACAGTAAAATATTGGCTTCAGTATATTTTAGGTGGTTTGTTGAATATCTCACAGTATGGAGCCATCAGATTTGATTTGTAGATTCTTTTTAACCGGTGTTTATTTACGTTTTTTTCTACTACATATTTTTCAAAGCAATTATTTATCATGTACAATATAACCCTGCAGCTGATTTCACCAAGTTGACCAACATGATTTAAATTAAAAAAACCTGCTCACTAATCCTTCTCATCCTTGTTTTTGTCTTTTCCATGCGTCCATCACACAGCCACGGGACTAAACATGACATTGTCGCCGGACTCTAGCTACCATCGCAGCTTTGTCGTCAGGATGAAGTCCACACTGACCAAGCGAGGAGTTCACATCAAATCCTCTGGCTACAAGGTATGGTGCTGCGAACCTGCAGAGACCATAGACATAAAATAAAACCTAGACACGACATTCACTGCTTTTACGTTGTAAATTCTGTGAGCAAAACGGGCTGCGTGACGCGGCCTGGTGCGATGCGCGAATTGTCACGTGGCTTCGATTTACGCACATGCTTCATACGTATACCACGAATGTTCAGGCCAGCGCCAATGCACTTGTGCACCACTTAAGTTTTTTTGTTTCCCACATGCGTACGGGACCAAAAGATTCCAAATAACACGCGCAGTGAAACCGCTCTCTTGCTCGATGCGACGCGTTTGCGTAAATACGCGTAGCATTTTGCTCACAGGGGCAATAGCAAATGTCGTGTCTACCGGTAGGTTTTATTATACCGGTATGTCTATGGTAGAGACAGGAATCAGAGTCTTGGTTGGTCTTGGTTGTCTTGGTTCCAAGACATCGTTAGTGGTGGGATATTTGAGCGCCCACAGATTATTGGACTTAGCAGCGGTTCACCGAAGCGGGCGCCCTTTATACACACGCCAACAAGCTGCAATTAAAGGATGTTTTGGGAATCTTAAATTTCTGCTCCGGAAATTCCAAGCAGTATTGTGTGTGCATTTGCATTTGTGTATGACGTACATGCCTGGTTTCTGTAGGCACTGCAGTTTTCTTCGCCACACGTGTACTGTTTGCTTGCAAGTGAGGTGTAAGAGTTGTTGGATCAAAAATCGTCACCGTTTTCACGAAGAGCCACATATGTCGATTTTGAAGAAAAAGTGTTTTCGAGATAATCGCAAAAGAAGTTTCTCATATTTTAAAACTGCAAAAAATACCACTTTGCAACAACTTTGTGAAGCAAGGAAACCATCACACTATTCTGTGTGAGCTGAATGTTTACATGAACCCAGTAATAAGACTTAATTCAGCAGTTAATTAGTGAAAATTAATTAGTAAAGATATGTGGCTCTTCGTGAAAACGCAAATTCAGGTTTCCGACATATTGGCCCTTTCTGTTCAATGTGTATTTCCATAGGCGCGCAGCTGAAAATGTAACAAAGATATGTGGCTGTTCGTGAAAATGCAAATCTCATTTGACCTACTTTTACGTATTTCCGTGCAATGGGTTTTGTACGCGTTCAAAGGGCCAAAATGTATGTGGCTCTTCGTGAAAACGCAAAATTCATTTATCGAGATTTTGGCCCCTTGCAACATTAATGTAACTTGGAAATTAATGATGTTTTGCTTACAGAAACATGTCAAAATGGTTAAGTACATTGTTTTAAAGCAAAATATTGAGAAAAAAATCAAAATCGAAAAAATTGTAATTTTTGACGTATGTGGCTCTTCGTGAAAACGGTGACGAAATAACATCCGCTTGGATGAAGCCATCATTTTGTAGCAACAAAGAAACTGGATTTGGAAACAAAAAATCACCACATCAGTGCTCTTCACTAACTTGAACGTGGCCATGAATCAACCGATACATACGTAGTGCTATCCAATGCACATTGTACATGTATGTTACGTGACCTGACTAACAGTTTTCAGAACAGCTCTTCTGTGATTTTCCACCAGTGCGCATGCGCTGTTATTTTGCATATTAAGTCAAGCCCTATTGCAATGCAAGATTCCCAAGATGTTCCTTGCTTGCGGTTTCTTCGACCGAGTCAGGTTTGTGGATGGCCCTACAGGACCGGGAACATACCTGCTACTGCGCGCAGTAAAATGGTTGGATTTTCTATCATGAATTACCCCTCTAAGAATACCCTAAGAACCAAGACTGCACCATAATTCAAAGCACAAGATATTGAAGAAACAAATGTGAGCGATTTTAGTAAGGAAACGATCTGTAAAATATTGTGGATAAAATTCGGTATGCAAAAAGATAGAAATTGCAAGTGACAACGAAAAACATGCAGCTTTTCCATGTGGTTGGAAGCAACTGATCTATTAAAGCTACAGAATATTTAGATGGATCTGCTAGACATGTTGGTGACTTCATCAACTGGTAAATTTAACGTGTCTCATTTTCAGGCGCTGCAAATCTACATGTATGTATTCCACGCAGCTAAGATTTACCGATTACTACAAGTTCTTTCAAATTACTCTCAGAAAAAAAATATGTAGCAGATGCCGCAACAAAAATTTACTTCTCTCACAATATAGAATTTGTAGTTATATGCCGCCAACAGAGGGCGCTGCCTATCTGAGACAAGAGAGCCCTGCGGTAATGTGTTCCTGGAGTAGACATGATTAATGCCAGTGAACTGGGGGGGGGGGGGGGGGGGGGGGGGGGGGGGGGGGGGGGGGGGGGGGGGCAGGATGACTGATTGAAGGATGGCAGTGGAAGAAGTGGGAAAAGTTGACACGTACTGCCACAAGATGGCAGCAGACAGAATATCTGGACTTATTGTTATTTTGTTTAACGTTGAACGATGAAATTGACTGGAGTGAGCTTTCAACCTTCGTCTCTGGTAAAAGTATTGTACCAATAGGCCTTAATCTTAGGGCAGGTTTGGGCAAGGACGATTAGTCGACTAGTGGTTGATTTGTGACGTACCTTACGCCTGCGCACCAATAGCAACGTGCAAACGCCTCTAGTCAAATGATGGTCCAAACATCATCACGAAAACTCCTTGATCCTGGCTCTCTGCTGTACGTTATGAATGCGCGCTGCTTTTGGTTACCAGCGATGCAACCAGGCCCAGTAGGCTGGTTCCAAATAGTCGACTAGCGTAGTCAACCATCGTCGACTAGACAGAGTTCGGGCTATAACTCTAGTCGAACTTCATTACCCTTTGGTCAACAATAGTTCTTGCGCGAACTTGACCCTACATTGCAATCCAAAGGAGGTCAAGCTTTAGAAATTCTTAAAATTAGTAAATTGTGTTGACGGGGTTGAACAATTTATGCTTGAAAAAAAAATGCCTGATTCTGAAACAAAGAAAGATGGTGGTGATGTAAATTTAATATTGGGTTTTGTCCTTGACCGACATTTTATAAACATATGTTCTCATCAGTGTTGTCGCGAGTGATTGTCAGACTCGAGAGTGAAGTAACACCGAGTATAACAGACACTTGCTCGCAAGATTGCATGGTTGCCTGCAAGCGTGCGGGCAGTCTTGCCTGTTAGCGGGGGGGTGTGCCCAAGTTTCATGAAATAAATCGTACATAATAATAAATCGTTCAAATTTACATTGAACTTTTTGGCAATCCTTCAGGGGTATGAACTATTATCAATATTTTTTTTTGTTTTTTTGTTACACTGGCATGTTACATTGTACCTTAAATGTTTGTATTTGTTCTGTGTCTATGTGTGTCTTACTTGAGAAACAATAAATGAAATGAAACGAAACTGAAATTATTACATATTGTAATCAGGGGCAGATCCGGGATTTTCAAAAAGGGGGGGGGGGGCATGAAATGTTTCAAACCTGTGCGGGAAGTTTTGTTGTGACACACCAACTCGCGAAGCCACGGCGTGGGGTTCGGGGCCCTTAGGCGGGCCCCGAAAAATGTTGAACTTTAGAAGCTCTCTGGTGCATTTTAGAGCAAATCTGGGGGTCTCTGCGGCAGATTTTTCCTCAAAATTCAGAGGAGATTTATAATGTTTTTAAAAACAAATATTGAATAATCATTTCACAAACATTACAACTTCCTAAACTGGAAAAGTATATGGATTAAAAGTAAGTTTCAAGTTGAGAAATAAGTCGGAACAACAAAATAAATCTGATTCCTATCACATTCCTATCGCGCCATGAAAGTTATCGAGACTGTCCATCAAAACTTTTTTTATAAAAAATTGCCTTACCTAATAATATATGAAAATATATTTAAGGTAGGTTATTCTTTAAAATAATGGAGAATTTAAGTCGTCTACGCCACTATGCTAAAACAATTACAATGTAAGTTACCGTCAGCCACCGCCGGCCGCAGCTGGCCGTATATTGCGTCGCGCACACGGCGCACTATATAACAGCACTGTGTATTGTGTGGGACCCGGAAATGAACCCATGTGCTGTGGCCGAAAAGTTTGCAGAAACACGATACGGTGTATCACGTACGAGCAGAACAATCTCGTTAGAAATATTTATTTTAATGGAAAATACGTACACAGAAATGAGAGATCACGTTCTGGGAATTAATTTGAAGAATTCTCTTTCTCCATCGATGTTCGTTTGGTGTATGTAGCCCGTAGTCACTGGTTCTGGTCCTACATCATAGCTTTGATTCTGTTGGGAACGCGGTGGGAACCAGTGAATGGCGATGGCACTGCACTGCACTGCCGCATGCCGTATGGAACATTGTACAGCGGCATGGCTTCGATGTCGTGAATGTGCATTTTGATGACACATGTGTCAGAAATACAGGCTTTTTCCGTCAAGATTTAGCATGTCCAGGTGAAATAAAGAATAGCGTGTGTAAAAAAAAATTTCAAAGAAAAAAGAGGGGGCGTGCACCCCCCACGCCCCCCCTGGATCCGCCCCTGGTAATTCACTTGCATTCGTAAGTTAACACAACAACATGATATCTGCTACTTAAATGTCTTAAAAATTGCCATAATATTTTCCATTTCTTGCCCATTTCTCTCCTCGTCCAGGTGATTCACGTCACGGGCTCAATGCGGCCACGCATGGTGTTGACCCAGTATTCCCGCCACAACCCGGTCATCATGGGTTTCACCGCGGTGGCCCAATCCTTACCTCCACCCACTGTCAGCGAGATCCACCTAGAACCCACCATGTTTGTCTGCAAGCTAGACCTAGACCTGACTATTGTCTTCTGTGAAGCCAAGTAAGTAAATATAGGGACTTCATGACACTTTTGTAGTCAAGGTATTTACGATAGATCACAAGTCACCACGATGCCATCACAAGCCTAGGCAAGTAATCATTCTCCACGCAAATGCGAATGTGAAGTTAATTTGAGTTCAGAAAACATTCGCTGCGAAATTCACCGGAGCTGAAATGTGAGTTTGCAGCGCGAATACTTGCTGTGACATCACAAATTAGCGTTAAAGTTTGCTTTTGCGCTGAGCATGTATGGACCAGCCCTACGTCACAAGTCCAAAGGCAACTCAGAAGGTATTCAGATAAACTGTGACAAGGGCATTCCTTAAGCCCACCGTACAAGAGAGCTACGTGCTGAACACAAAGTCATTTTGAGGCTGGTTGCTCAGCACGTAGCTCGCAAAATATCCCCATGTGCGGTGAATATTTGCTGAGGTTTCTGCTTTGCGAGGCCGTGAGGCAAATATCTATCCTGTTTGATTGCTTTCGCCTCGTGATGTGAAAAACTCACCATGTTCGGTCAACCTGAGCTATGTGCTAAGCTAACAAGATTAACTAGCGATTGAAAGCGCATTATTCTTGTTTGTCGGTCGCGTGATTTAAAAAAAAAGGGACAAATGCCAGCAGGCTTTAGAAGCTTTGCACAACAAATCTTAAAATCATGTGTGCAGAGTACATGATTTAATTGGCTAGCTAATCGTTTAAAGCTATAGTCCATCATTTGCAGCCATCCGAAAAGTAACTGGCGTAATTATTGTTGAAAAACATACTTGGTTGAAAGATAGTAAGGGGACTAAACTCCCTGTGAAATTATTCTTTCTGGCAAGCTGTCATTTTGAAGTAATCAACGAAAGAAGGCCTTTCCAACGGTGCGTCTTAAGACGCACCGTAGGAAAATTTAAATTAGTAGTTCGTTTTGTTATTCGGCGAAGCGCGCGCAAGCATTGGCACAATGCACACACGCGCGCGCGGTTGCTTTAATTCGTCGGATCAGTGCGCGACATCGCGTAGCTGCAATCGGCTCAGTGAAAACGTGTCTCAGACGCTGAATTCAGGCCCAATTCAAAACATGATTCAGCAACTTTTTGATTTGAAATTGAGATCCTAGAATGCTGTTTTTCTCGGAATATACAGCTGAAGCTGAGCTGAAACTTCATCAGGTTAGTTGTTCAGTATCCTTCATTCAAACGAACAAAATGCACAAATTACAAATGATGGACTATATCTTTAAGCTCAGCACGTAGCTCTGGTTGACCGCACACGGTCAGTTTTTCACCTCATGAGGCAAAAGAAATCAAACAGGATAGATATTTGCCTCACTGCCTCGCGAGGCAGAAAACTCAGCTAAAATTCACTGCACACAGGGATGTTTTGTGAGCTACACATGTACGTGCTTGGCAAATGGCCTCAAATGACTTCTTGCTCAGCACATAGCTCTCTTATGCAGCAGGCTTTAGTGTTTATCCTCTGTTACTCCTGTGAACTGACTTGTGAGGTACTTGTGGCCGGACTTGTGAGGTACTTGTGGCCGGACTTGTGAGGTACTTGTGGCCAGACTTGTGAGGTACCTGTGATCTTGACTACAACAGTGCTTAATGAGTCAAATATGATATGTGAGACATTCTCGCAAAATGAGACAGAGCTGGGCAAAGGTCGAAATAAGGGTTTGATAGTATTAGGAAAGAGAATAAAATTCTCTTCAAAATACTGTTTGTTTCACCTTAATCGGACATTTCGTTGACAAGTTATGGCTGTTTAAAGTTTGTATTTATTACCATGCCAAAAAAAGAAATTAATGAGAAAAAAGGCCTTTAAACTTTTGAGTTTTGTCACCGTGAAAATGATACCAATTTTGTCCCCTTAAAAACACTTTTATTCTGTGATTGTGTAGTAGACATATCAAAGATATTACAAATATCAATAAATTGAAACAAAAATCACCTCAGTTTGGTTTTTCTCCACTACGAGAAAATATTTTTTGTGGAATTTGCAGAAATTTCTCAGGGAAATATCAGGGAAAACTCAGGGAATTTCTATTGTCATAAAGTGCTGGGAACTCTGTAAAAAGAACCTGTCACATTTTAAAAATGTGTTCCATACAAAGTGTGAAAATGTGCTTTACCCCTATTGATCAGGCCATGAGATCAGATTCATGCAGCATTTTGAGATCAGCACAGTTTGTTTTATACCCTTAAATACACTCATTTATACTCCTAGAGGTAGAGGAAGGCAATCATAGTAAAGTACCCTGCTCAGGAACACTATAGCATCATCATTACTCTTCCTGTTTTTATCAAAATTTTGTCTTTCAAATTCAACTTTGAAAATTCAATATTGGGTTTTGCCCTGCACGGACATATTTTATTAACACTGTATACTCAATGTTGCCCCCGAGTAATTGTGAGAAAAAAATCACTCGGGTGGGACTCGAACCCACGACCTCCTGCTTACTAGTGCAGACGTCTTACCACTCGACCACCGAGCTTGCCGGGGTCGGCTGGCTGGTTCGAATAAGATAATAGCAGCGGGTACCGCAATGAAACCATTCATGCTATGAATCACTTTGAAAATGGAATGAAATAAGTTGATCATCACCTTGTATGGTACATAAAAGTACACTTTCGTCATGCTTCTTAGGTATTTTTGGTGTTTTTTTTAGATGGATCAAGGCAGAGACATATATATTCAAATACAACATGAAATGATGTTTTTTGATTGCAGGATTCAAGAGTTTATTGACCTTTCAGCTGAGGATGTGACGGACAAGAGTCTATATTCCTTCTTACATGCCGAGGACATCAGCCAAATGAGAAATTGCCATAGCGACTGTGAGTTAATGTGGTGTGTTTTTTTAAAGCAATAGTAAGCCATTTCACATTCAAGATCAAACTTTTCTGTATGTTTCTCTCTGTAGGCTCATTTTTTTCATGTTTCGTCTCATTGGAATATTAATAACTTAGGTTTTATACTTGGAGAGCTCTGTGCTCCTTTTTCAATTTCATTTTCAATTTTTTTTTTTTCCTACTGTGGTCCAGTGGTTACGGTGTTCGACTCGTGTGCCGTGGTACACGGGTTCGAATCCTGACCGTGGGAACATGGTGCTTGCGCACCTGAGCAAGGCGCTTTACCATTATTGCTTCGTCCTTCGGATGGGACGTAAAGCCGTAGGTCCTGTGTGTTGTGTAATGCACATTAAAGAACCCAGTAACACTTTTCGCTAAGAGAATGGGTTTGCCCCGGTGTTTCTGGCAGTGGCTGCTTAATGCGCCGCAGCACCTTGTAAACCATTATAAAGGTGCTACATAATGGGTCTCATATTTCTCATGTACTTCATTTACCTGTCTCTAATAATAGACATAATTTCCTGTGCCTTGAGTATCTAATTGTTGGTAGATACGTGAGCTATATAAGACTTCGGTATTATTATTATTATTATTATTACCAAATTAATTGAAATGTTTTATGCAAACAGAAAAAGCGGCCCTTTTTCTATTTTTGACATTTTCAATCCTCTGAAAATGTGCTTTTTAATCTAGGTTGCTTTTGCGCCCATTACGTACAGAAGATTGAATTATTGTCTGTCTGCAAATAATTCAAAATATACATGAAGTAAAAATTCCTTAACTAAACATGGGTTGATTTCTTTGTTTGATGTCTCATTCAAAAGATAACTTTTGTATTGCTAGAAAAGTAGAAATTTAAAATAAAATCAATCGGGGTGAAACTCGAAAATGGCACGGGGAGGGCAACTAATACTCTGTATGAACGGAAATTTTAAAAATGCGTCACTTGACTCATGGTTGACCTCCTTTTATTGTTTTCTTCAAAATGACAGCATGCCAGAAAGACTAATTTCACAGGGAGTTTAGTGTCATTACTATCCAATGAAATTACAGTATAAGCACACGATATAACAATACAATCTTTAAACCAAGCCACTACCTCCAAGTAAGCTTTTAAAAAAATAATTTGGTCAGTTACTTTTTGTATAGCTGCAAATGATCTACTCTACCTTTAATCAAGAAGAATAAAGTTGATTCGTTCCTCTTTTCTTTGTTTTCAGTGTTGAACAAAGGCCAGATGATCACTCACTATTACCGCTGGATGTGCAAGGCAGGCGGTTACATCTGGGTACAATCGACGGCCACGTTAGCCTACGCTAGGACATCCAATGACAGATCCTTCATGTTCATCAACCAAGTCATTAGGTAACTCCTTGCAGATTATCATGATAAGGCAACCCCAGTTTACTCCAAGAGCTTTACTAGGGTTCCATTTGCAGGGGAGGGGGGACTTACGGGGGCCTCATTTTTTTGGAGAAGGGGCACAAAATCAGGCGTGAGATTTTTCACATTATTGTCAGAAGAATTCATCCCTTTTAAATCTGAAAGAAAGACATAATCAGTATAGAAAGAATTGCATTTTTCATCAGACCATCATCCAATTTCAGACTTTTTTTGAATGTTGACAATCTCTACAAATGTCTTTGGACTCTTTGGTCACTGTTTCTAACAATAAAAGCTATACACATTGGCGTGCGCGTCGCGCGTACTGCGCGATGTCGCGCAAAATGCAGCTGGGCTGGTGAAGTGTGAATTTTGGACCATGAAATACTGATTCACTGGTAGTACATTGCGCATGCATACGGGATGAATTTGAACGTTCAGCCAATGAAACGTTAAAAGGCACCGGATTTCATAGGAGTCCAAATTTCATGTGACACTGGAAAAGCGTTTAAGACCAGCTAGCCATGTCTTTATCATCCATTTAAGACCGGCCACGTGACGGGTTCTCGACCAATAGGAATGCGTAAACTGACTGAGGTATTTATGAATATCAGATAAAGTTAAGACGTTTCACAATCCAGAATATCTTTTGCCTCTACCATTTCATTCCAACTTCACTCCACTCCATCCTGCTTCCTCAACCGTTGCACGGCAAATCACTTCCTATTACTTTTTTGAACCAATGAGAAACACCGTCCACCTCCTTTTTCCTCATTTCAACTGCCCATAAACTTGTTATCTCACGTTCTTTTCAAAACAGTAGTCATTTCAAAATATATAATTATAATACTTTTGTGCTTATATAGCGCTTTATACCAAAAGTCTCAAAGCCCTTTTCAATTGTTACCCCTGTTCACCAGGCCATGACACCAGTATTTGCAGCAGCTCGAGATCAGCGCATTCTGGTCTCTACCTTCACAGGTACCCATTTATACTCCTGGGTGGAGAGAGGCAAAGAAGATTCGAACAAGATTTTGACCGTGGTTTTTTTTGTTCGGCCTGCACGCATGCTTGCAGATGCCCACACAAGCACAAGCAGGTGCTTGCATGTGCTGCACCTATCAGAATTTCTCCTATCGCTACAACTCTATTATCTTGACTTCAATTTATAGTTTGCATTCTGTGTCCATCTTTTCTATGTCAGCAACGCGGAGGCTACAGATACCATCATGGACATCAGTCAGATGAGCGGTCTGCCTCCAGACACTGTCAAAGCAGAAACATCGGACGGAGATTGTCATGAGTCCGACTTGGCCAATACTAGCCCAGGTAAAAATCATTGTGGAATCAGTCAATAAGAGCTCCCCCTCCCCCTCTCCCCCTAGTCTCTTTTGTGGTGAAGGTAAAAATAAAGAAGTTCTTTAGTGTAAACCCCCATTTACCATTTCCAGCATTGCTAATTGTAACTTTGGGTGTGGTCGCTGGCTACATGGCATATACAGGTTTACGAGTTCTGACAAGCGCCCTTTGAACAAAGACATCGATAAAATGGGGAACTGCCAACATCGGGCTAGCTCAGTCAGTAGAAAACCGGAGCGGCAATCCAGAGATCCCAGGTTCAAAACCTGCTCCAGTCAATTTCTCTGTTCAATTTACTCCCTTTGTTATTTTTGTGAAAATAAATGCTTTCTTCTGAGACTGTCAGCCTGGCTTTAACTTGAAAAATCACGTCGCCTTTTCAAAGAGTAGTTTGAACTCATTAGTTTAAATTTGTAAAAAGAAGTTGAAATTGTATACAGTGAATCTCGATAAGTCAAAACTGGTTAACTTGAAATCCCGGTTCGCACCCCAAATCCAAAACTGATCTTTTGTTGTACATGCATGTTGATAAACTACAAACTTTTCTTTTGCAATGAGAATAATAGAGATCTCACATGGAACCATTTATAAGTTTGAAGTGGTGAAATATAAGATTTATACATTTATAATGAAGCAAACATGTCTAGGCAGTCTATGGAATATCCCCTTGCACAGCAAGGGTCTATGACATGCGAGGAGATTTGGTTTTTAATTATGCAAAACAAGACTGCAGCCTGACATCCAGACTCTGACCATTCAGCGGGCGCCTTCTATCGGGTATTCTGTAACCCGTTGTTGGATTACAAAAACACGGCAACCAAATTGACCAATAAACAGCTTAGTCCACATTTCTGATCACATGCGAAATTTCGTCATAATTTGTTAAGTCCACTCCGATTGGCTGTTGTGCAGCCAATTATGTTTGACATTCATACCGCGTGGCTCTGCACATGTGAATGAATGATCTGATCCTCAGACTTCCGAGACAGTCAAGCCCCTTGCGATTATGGATTCGAGCTTTAGAAGCCGACCAAGTATACATTTATTGGCCATTCGCAAAAACAGAGTCATAAGTGACAAAAGAAAATCAATGTGTCCCTATCAGAACGGTTTATGTCATAATTTTTTTGTTTATATTCAAGATGAGACCAAGGGCAAACCCCCGAAGTCCGAGAAGACAACCAAGAATTCAAAGAAGGCTGCTCAAGAGTCTACCACCAGCCGAGGCAAGTCTCCATCCCGGACGAGAAAGAGAAAAACCCACGCTGACCACAAGGACACGAAAAGGCATCGGCAGACTAGCCCAGCGGAGAATCTGGACAAACCCGCCGCAGGGGAGGAACAATGCCAGGAACCCAAGACGGTTATAGTGGACGGCAGTTCAGAGGTGAAAGGTCGCCAGGAGGTCAAATCCCAGCAGACGCAGGGTCACGCTAGAAAACCAAAGAAGGTCCTGGAGGATCAACACCTGAGGCAATCGCAGGAGGATCGAGTCGCAGTCAGTCCTGTGAAATCTGCCGACAGTGACATTGGCTGCCAGGGATGCGAGCCCATCGAGAGCCAACCCTCACCTGGTTACATCTCTCCCATCAACCACTCTGTACATAGCAATGGACGGGACTCGGACTCCTTCAGTAATGCCAGTGCCGGAAGCCGTGCCAACGAAGGATGGGATAACCCTCCCAATCGGGAAGCACCTAGGGACCCCGAATGCTCCCGGAGCTACCAGGAGGTGGGAGTAAGCAGCATCAGGCAAGTAGGAACAGAAGACAGTCTCATCATCCCAAAGAGATCTTACTGTAAAGGAGGCTCGGGGGGTAGCCCCAAACCCCCAGATAGTATGCTGACACCGCCGCTGTCAGAAACCTGTCATTCTCAATTTGTGCTTCCGCCGGCCAGCTCTCTGAGCGAGCCCAAGACTAAACATTACTCCACGGACTCCATTCCCGCCATGCTGACCAGCAGTAACAACAACAATCCTCTCTTGCCCGCAAGCAAGAGCTTCCATCAACCTGCTGTCAGCCCCGACGTGGAGCTGGTCAGCCACCAACCAGGGCCTGCAATCCTGACCAAAACGCACCCGACCAACCCAGCCGCGGACTTGGACTCCCCCAACTCGGCTAGCACCAAGCCTGAGCACCTGTACAACACCCACCCTCGTGTCATCACGGCGGTCTCCTCTGCTTACACCGGCATGCCTTACGCCAGCTACGGACAGTACCCCAACTTCCAGCAGTATGCCAATCCGGTCAACCTGGCCCCTCACCATGGATACCAAAGCAGCCCTTACACTGACCACTACAAGAACTTCCGCAGTGCCCATGACATGCCTATGGACCTGTCTTACAACAATGTCGGTGGCTACCCCAACATGTCCATCCTGCACAGTAACGTGACATCGGGAGGGACCACGCACCCTTACTACCACGCGGCTAAAATGGGTTATGCCTCAGCACCCGAAGCAAACCTTCAAGTCATCCACGACAGAGGTTGCCTTGAAGACACAACCAAGGCGCCACACACAAAAGTTTGATGTTACTTTTATTTCCCAAAACAAGATGGCTATTCCTCCATTAGTTCTAAGATCATAAATTTCATGGCACGTACAAACGGGAGTTCCTTTTACTTACAAGAAATCCAAAAAGAAATCATGATGTATTCTACGGTTGCTATTTAGAGAGTTGCGAATACATGTATGTTTTAAAGAAAACAAACTTACTTAATCAAAACAAAGTAAACTCTTCAAATCATCAATATAAAAGTGGGGAAATCTGATCAAACTAGCCCATCTGATTTCAAATAAAGTTTTGTAGCTTGCTGCTTGCCATACCATGGAAACATTTTTAAACTGCTGTATTTACTCACTTTGAACAAACTATTGAACAATGTATAAAATACTAAATAATCTAACATTTTTTTCAACAAAACCTTGACATTTATGTGTCTTACTCAATGTCATCTCTTCAAATGTTCAACAGCAGTAGTGTACATAATCCAGAAAGATTTTATCAATATACTCCGGAAACAATGAAAAAGAAAAGGCTACTTTTATGTCAAACACGTATCATTTCTCAACATTTTTTGGAATTTTGTAGTTTTGAGAGCGACATGCTTCGTGGTTATGAATCCAAATGTTTCTAAAACAGTGCTTAGGAACATAAGCTCGCAAGAAATCTAATGGGAGAAGACAATGAAAAAAAGATTCAGTTTTAGAGGTGGCCGGAAATCATGTTAACTGCATCAGTCTGACTCAAAAAAAATGTACTGCAAGGCATATAGGATCATTTGCATTTATCCAAAAAGTAACCTACCAATTTATAATCATAAAGCTTACTTGGATTAAAGATCGTACTGGTACTAAACATCCCGTGAAATTATTCCATCTGGCTTGCTGTCATTTACAAGATAATCGAAAATTGTAGGTGATTTCCAACGATCAGTCAATTGACTGATTTTTCAAATAAGAGTGCTATCGACGTAATCGTGTTTCATGATCAGAAGGTCGTTCCTTGGTTTGTGTGTTTTCTGTTTTCTTGAAAAGTGTGATATCCACACAGCTGAAACTTCAAAAGGTTAGGTTTTGAAGAAAAATTCTTCTTTGGATTTTGAGCGTTGTTATTATTGGAAACAAAAAAGTGCATGAAAAGCAAATGATCCTATATGCCTTTAAAAAAAGAAGGAATTTCAGTTTCAAAAAATGTTTCAAAAAACACCCTGAAAATTTTAGTATATTGGGAGCATGCTGTTTTTTTTAGTGGGGGTGTTTGTTTGCTTGCTTGAATCTAAAAGCTTTTCTTTTTAAAATTTTTTTAAAAAGAACTTTTAGTCTTATAAAATGTTTAGAACAAATCCTGAATATTGTAATATGTCAGGAATATAGTGAGAGCATGCTGTTGAACTAGTCCAATTGATTTGTATTCAACCAGGCTTTCATGACATCCCACTACTGTGCCATGAAACAGTTTGCTTAAAGTTGATGAATCCTTGTTTTTTTTCTGTTGGGAGAAAGTGCAAATATGTAAAGTGGGTGAAAAATATGTTAGTCTGATTGAGTTGTGATGATTATTGGAACAATTGGATCAGAAAAAAAACAAGAGAAAAAAAGGTATTTTTTCTCTACTTCAGATTTTCTTGCGTGCTGAACTAATTGCTAGATGTAAAGCTTTATACAGTAATGAAGTGAATATTTTCATATTTTGCTTCGTTTTCATAACATTTGGCTAAATTTTAAATTTGATTTTGACTTTTGTAAAATGAAGGAAATAGAGTATTTCCGATGGTACAACTTTAAGCTGTCCTTCTGTCTGCGGAGACATTATAACATCATTAGTTAACTGGCGCATCGGCGAATGGTAGAATGAATCATAATCCTTAAATACAAAGATTTATTCCAAACGTGATATACAACATTTTGTTCGCTTTCAGAATCCAGCCGCTCTTTCCTGGCTGCCCCCCAAAAATTTGACGGCTGTTATATACTGGAACACAGCTTAAGAATACAATACGGCGAAAAAAAAGTGAAGTTTAGAAACGCCGGTTTTACTGTTTTATTCTTTAAAGTTTCATGAACGTGCAAAATGCTCACCTTTTCCAAATGGATATGTCACGTTTTGGAAACATGCTCTTCATAGCCCCCAGCAACTCAGAACGAAAGTTTCATTTTCATGAGCAGGCTTCAAGGTTAAACCATTTTAAGTTATAATATATGCATTTTAAACAAGTTAAAATGTTTGGTTAAACCCCCAAAAAATATTGCTACTTTTTTAACAGTTTACATGCTATAAAGCTTTTTATTTGTAACAGCATTTATTTGTGTTTTTCTCCAAAGTGCCAGCGACAATTTATTTCATTTATTCGGCACTCTTAACATACATCTCTAAACATGTCCTTTTGTCTTCTTTTGTCTTAAAAGATGATTAATTGGTTGAACATAAAAGAAATTTGCTGTTGCTTGATTAATTGACCAATCAGAGAGCTTGTTACAAAATAGGAGAGTTATTACTTAAGAGTTTTGATTGTTATTTGTATGGACCAGATTTTATTTTAGAAGCAGCTGTTATGAACTCTGAACAATTCCAATTCTTTCTTTTTTTTGGTTTGAAAATGGATATTTTATAGGGATCCTAAGTGCAATATGTTTTATGAAATGGTAAAATGAAATAGGAAACAACGTTAAACCTTGAAAAAAAATATTTTTTTAATTTAAAATAAAAAACATCAAAATAATGGGGGAATGACCACAGAAAAAAAAGTGGTCCAAAAATCGAGATGTTACATGAGAATGTATATTAAAAGCTTTGATTTGTCAGACATAGTTTGACTTTTAATAGAACGAATTGAAACAGTCCTTAAAGGTGATATACATTGTACAACAGTTGCACACCTCAAAAAACAAAGCTACCAAATTATTATGAAATAAATACCTTACTTGACTGGAAGTGAATAATAGTCTCAGGCATCCTGTGAAATCATGGCACCTGGTGTGATGTTATTTTCATAAAGAGGGAAAATTTTGGTATCAATTTCTAACGATGGTCAGCCGACCATCGTTGGAAAAAAGCTGAGTTTTTTTTTCTTCAAATACTACCCCTGATTTAACCAAATTTAGTTAGTTCTCATTTTTTTTGCAATTGATTACACGTCCATGAAAAGTTGCGCACCAGCTAGTCTGGTTCCCTGACCTGACGATTCCCCAACGTCTATAAATTGCTCCGTTTCGTCTGGAGTAGGGTCATGGAACCAGACTACAAGAACAACATTTTTTTCTTGGTTTTTCCAGCATCTATGAACACAAAAGTTTAAACAGGTTGGTGTAACAATATTTCCTATAAAATATACTTACCCAAAAATCCATCCATTTCTGAAGATCACAGCAAAGGCAAATGTTGTACGCTACCTTTAAGAGTGTTTCACTGTCCTTAATGGCTTCAAATTTATTTCAAATCAAAGCAGTTTTCCTTTTTTTTAGTTGATATATTGGCCTGAATACATTCCTATTTACCTAAGCCATTTGTTATAACTACGTGAACTACGTGCTTAAATTAATGATAGATTTAATGCGATTTATACTCTTATTCCAATTTAATAGGTTGCCACAAGAACAGCTGTTGTATGCGTTATGAATTCAGTGGACAAGGAATCCATTGCAATCTTACTAAACTTAAATCTGGGGAACTTATTGAAACTTAGAAATAGGATTACTACTTTCTAATTGGTCTCAACTGACAACTGATTGTTGAACTTTTTGAATGAAGCACTTTCAATGTCTTTTTCTAAAAAAGAAGTGGTTTTGACCTAACACTATTCTTAAGGCCACATCAAAGTTTGTTTAAGAACAGAGCCGAAGAAATAAAAAGTAGTGTATTTGAGTAGCTTATTGTCCAAATTCCGAGGGAAAAAAAGTACGAAGTACTTGCAACCTAGAAGAGATTATGTAAAATCTTACCAACTACCAAAGTGAAAATAGGAGCAAAAGTGACCAAATTATCTCCTTGATTTGTATAGTTTCTGTAACTTTTTTGCCATTGCTGTGTTAACTTGTGCTTAATTACCAGCTCAATCCAATTGAGCTGCTTTTTGTGTGTAACTTTCATGTTAGCTTCAAGCATTACTATCCAGTCTGACATTAATTTTGTTGCCATATTATTGTAGCATGTTCAAATGTTTTACTGTAAAAAAAAAAAAAAGTTTTAAAAAGAAAAAAAAAGGTGCTTTGGCTTTTAAATTCACATTGACAAATGAAGAGACTGTGTTTGCGATGTAGATTTCAAGAGGTTTTGACTGGTAAAATTCTTCATTCTTAGTCATCTTGATGATGTAAGGAAATAATGTATACTTTACTGCCGTGAAAAACTTGACTAAACCCTGCCAACAAAAAGACACGAAAAAATTGTTAATTAATATTATGATGGCAATGTGCATTACATCATTTGTCATGTCACCGTGTTATGTCCCAACTACACCATGCTCCCAACTTTGTGTTCCAGTTGGAATACAGTAGTTGGAATGGCCCCAACTTCAGGGCTTCGACCTTAACTTTTTGTTCACTAGCCAGCCGGGCTACTGAAACGGACTCTTCTGTATCTGTAGCATACTGCAAGCAAACTCCACTATGGGATATACGGTTGCAGGCTATATCCTATAGTGCTAATGATATTTTTGACCATTGCATTGTTTTTGCTAAAGACTCTTAACTAGCCTGCGGGCATTTTCACTAGCCCGCATGTTTTTACAAAATACAAAATGGCGTGTTTTCAGGCTCAATTCTGAGGCAATTTTGTCAGTGTTTTTAATAAACAGATCTCACAATTTAACCTTTTAAAGCAGTTGAAAAAATCAGACACAAATTGATGGGGTTTTCTTTTTGAATTTAATGATTAATTTCTTCCTGTTCGTTCATCTTTGCCGTATCCCAATAATTTTTCACTCACCAGCCGGGCTACTTAAGGAATAGTTTGACTAGCCCGCCGCTGTTTTGACGAGCATTTGGCTAGCGGGCTACCGCTAATTTTGAACCCTGCCCAACTTATGTTGGGACCCTTTCAACTTAAATTGGGACTGGCCCAACTGAAGTTGGGACCAATGGTCTGTTTGGGACATGACACCACCACAACATTAAGGATGCAGAAGCTTTCGCAAGATGTCCATGACTAGCCATCACGCTTTACTTTAAGTTCAAGTCAGTCAAAATTTCAAGTTTATCCCCCAAAAATGCTCTTTATTTGTCAGTATGGCTTTATACAGAGGTGTCCCAAAAAGTTGTGCAAGCAGATATCCTTTAATTTCTAAAACTACTTAAAATGAGTATTTCATCTTGATGGAGCATATTAAGTATACTCTTGTGTATATTCAGTAAAAAATGCCATGGGAATCTGTTGATGCAAACCAGAGATCTAACAGATTATAAAAAGGCTATGGGTTTTCACCCATTCCAATGGGATGGGATTTACACAGTTAACTTAATTTACATCAGAGTGAAAAGGCCTGTGACAATCTGATGCAAATATCACTGTGTAAATCCTATTGAAATGGGTGGGAAGATCTCTGGTTTGCATGAACAGATTTCCATGTCATTTTCACTGATTATACACAAGAGTATAATAAATATGCTCCATCAAGATGAAATACTCATGTTAAGTAGTTTTTGAGAAATTAAAGGATATCTGCTTGCACAACTTTTTTGGGAGGACACCCTGTAGCGTTGGGTAGATGCAAAGAAAACTAAACAGGCATTTTGTGCTCAAACAATACCCTTGAAAATTGTTCTTATTATAGACTTTTCAAGGAAACTTACAGGATTATTATCCTGCTGACAGTTTTGTTCAGCTGTTCTTGCAAGATGAGTGGATTAAATTCAACAACTGGTCAGAGAAGTATTACATGTACCTCCAACTGATGCACTGGGAAGACTTGATGACTGTGAAATACTGTACATACTGTAAAGGTTTCTGTGAGAATCAGTGAGTGGGATTGTGGGAAGGGTGGTTTATCATTTTGAATACCTGTAAATAGTCATTTGTTTTGGGGGCTTTAAAGATTAGGTATGAAGACAGACATGTATGCCAACAGATTTTGGTGCTTCACACTATAATCTTAGTGAAATTTGGAAATCTGGAAATCATTTGTTTCTTTTTAACTGTAACTTCCAATGTCAGGCAATGGACATGTGCATGACCGTAAGAGGGGGCTATATAGCCTATCAGTGCAAAAACTGAAGCCCTAACCATAAACTTGCAATTTGAACACGACCTTATTTACATTTCCCATACCAACATACCCTTATGATTTGATCTGTGATTGACTTCAGATTTGACTTGTGATGGACTTGACTTAAAAGTTGTCTCTTCAAGGCAACAGGGCTTAACTCGCAACTTTTCATCCATTAATATCAAGCATTATGGGTCATACATGTAGCGTAACAGGGAAGTTTTCCATATTGGTAACTATGATTTATATTTCCACATTGGAAAGGGGGGGGGTTCTGCAACCTCATCCATTTTCGTCTTTTGTTGGCATTTTGAAAAGTTGATTTCAAATACTGTTAATTAAAATCTGAAATTCTTACAAATTGAAGTCAAGTCATTTGAAAACTTTGTTCTGGTGTGATTTCTATGATTGTCACTTTTGTTAGCTATACAAGTGTCCCAAATTTGTTCAAAGTTGACAAGGTTGTCTCTGTATTGAACTGTAATCACAGAATTGTGCCGAGCAGAGTAAACAAAAACTTGGGATGGGGGGGGGGGAGACGAAAAATTGATACCATAAGGCACTATTTTCACTTGAGGATTTGAGATGTTAAAGAACAGCAAGTTTTCTTTAGTACAACGATTTTTCTGAAGAAATCAATTGTATGCTTTTCCTTGACAATCCTAGCCTGTTAGAAACACTCTGACAAAAGCATAAAAACCTAACCGCCCTGAATCCTTCAAAATCCTCTTTGCCAAAGTGGAGGACTTTGGAGGATTGAGGTTAACTTACATGGCAAAAGTGCGTCACTGATTTTGTAGGATGCATTTTGTCAAGGTCTTGGACTGGACCTTGTGTTGTTTTTGCTCAGCCATGCATAAGTATAGGCCTGGATTATGCTTGAAATCCTCCGTACAGCTCCAGGATGTCACTGGCCAAGCCTCAACATATTGACAGTGATTGCTGGAGGATTTTGCAGGATTCAGGCAGTGGTCATCCCTCCACGGACCATATTCAACAAATAATGGAAGAATTTGAAGGATTGAGGCCATATGCTATTTTTCCATGAGGCAATTGGAGGATTTTGCAGGATTGAGGCTACATCCTTGCAAAAAGGCCTAGGGAGTTAGGGTTAACTGGTGGATTATTTAGTGAAGGGCTTGCATTTGATCAGTGTAACAATCTCCTCACTTCTCTTGTGGAACTATCTTTACCGTCTTCAGAAATGGAACAAATACAAAAACTGGGATGACTTTTAGATTTGATTTTGATCATCGAATGGAAGGATACACAAACTGTTTGTAATTAAATGGAATACATGTAAATGAATGACAAATACATTCAGATTTCCATGAAACGAGCATAGTGCACTTTTGTGTTTATTTCTCTCGATGGCGTTGTGGTTAAATTATAACTTTACCGATAATCAATTTTTACAACGTCCACCACCGTGACGTCTGTGCTATTTCATATACACACACAAAGCCACTATGTGTAAATTTTGGAAAGAAATTCAATATCCCACCTGGATATCTTGCGACATTGGCTTCTTTTTTCAAACAGATTAACAAGTGATACACTGAAATTTCCCAATATATTTTATACAATTTTATAATAAAGCATTAGTAAGAATACATACAAGTAAGTCAGTAATACGTTTTTTCAAATAGAAACTACAAGTAATGAGAAAGTGAAAAAGAAAAAGAGAAATTTACTTCTGTAGATAAATACTGGATAAAAATTACTCATTTCAGTCAATTTTAAGTTGTCATGTCTTGAAAAGGGGAGGATTTCGTAAAAAAAAATACATGCTGGATGTACCAATACATCTTACAGAAACAGCTGCTATTAAACTCCGGCAATAATTGAAGCGGTCAGAAATCACATTTCCAGTGTTGTAGTACTTGTACTCGGTACTCGTACTCGAGTACTACTCGAGTCCTTTTTTTTTTTAGAGTACTCGTACTCGAGCAGCAAAGTACTCTTACTTGACATGTCGAAATTGTACTCGATCATCAAGGTACTCGTACTCGAAAAGTAGTACTCGAAAAATGGTATAGATTGAACTACCACGGCTATATTTTATTATTGATACTTTCAGTTTGAAATGATTGATTGGCTTGCAGAGAAATCGAAAATTCCTGATTTTCGTCTGTGTAAGACCAGACAAACACATTTAACAGCTAGCCCTGAGTGGGTCTGTACATGTTTATCGGTCTGACTGGGCCTGGGCCAGGGCCAATTACGCACAATGAACCATTTACCGAATGGCCGTTGTACTTGTACTCGTACTCGGAAGTAAAAGTACTCGTAATCGGAGACCTGTACTTGTACTCGGAAGTACTCGCACTCGGCAACCTAAGTACTTGGCAGTACTCAGTATTGGACAAAGTACTCCACTACAACACTGCATATTTCTTTATAACTGATCAATGCGGAGCATACATGTACATATGTAAGACTTATCTGGTTTCATGACCTTTTTTTTATATTCTTTCTAAATTTACATAGGTAAGTTTACACAAAGTCTTACCCTAACTTAAGAAAGTACATATACGTGTTGTACAATTTCCCCCACTTTTTTAAGATGCATCGCCCATGCGCTTTTCGAGTCTCATCCCCAAAAAGAGATGAGTCCTTTTCTTAATTGCTCTTTTTTTTGGCTATACATGAACAAAAGTTTTTTCCATTTCGATTGAGACAACCGGAAAAAAATACGATCACATTTATTCATTTAATTATTACTTTAAAATTTTCAAATGTACTTGCGGCTCGACGATAATTCTGTTCTAGTGGGATAAGCTGGTTCCTGCCCCACAGCGTATTTTTTTTCTGCAGCATACATCGTATTTTAACCAATCACATCACGCACCCTAACATGAATATTTATCACTTTGTGTGGATGGAAGACACTTATATTCTCGTAGTGTTTTCCCTTCAATTAAACTTATCCCAACCAACAAAAATATATGATGAAAACGGTCATAGGTTCGAACCACAGATCATTCCACTATCTACTAGGCCACTATGACAGCTCGACGAAAACCGTTCATTGAAATGCTTTAATGGACATGCATGACTGAGTGATATCAATGGTGTGACAACATTGTTTGTTTTCTTATGAATAAACATCGAACTAGCTGAATAGTCATGATCCATTGACGATGTGTGCTGCAAATAAAAACATCGCTGCCCCACAATCAGAACCGATAAGGGGCAATTCCGTACAATCCAATTGTCTGCATACGTCCGACCACATGATGTACAACGTTTTTAAGGTTGTGTACCTCAGTTTGGTCTGTAATTGTTTTCTACTCATTAGATGTCACATTATTAGTAATGTACCACATGCAAGTTTACAACAACATCTCATCAAAGTGTCTGACATGTACGTCCGAATTTACCGAATTGCCCCAAGGCAGATCTGTTTGTTCCCAAAATAACAACTTTTTTTCATATAAAAACAGGAGGGTTTTTTTTTGGGGGGGGGGGTTGGTATAAAACATACAAGTTGAAAATTTATTCAGAGAAAATAAAATCCAATCTGTTGAAGAGCACGGGTGATGCGACTTGAAAGTATCAATGAGTACCATTCCCTATTCACTGCCATTTATTAACAATTACACAACACCTGAATAAATCCCTGTTATCTGATTGGTGGGTCGTTAATCACATGTCATTGAATTATTCGTCCCAAACTCACTGCACGATTGCGCCGCAAAAATAGAAGTTCTATTCCACCATAAACAGAAGTTCCATTGCAAGGTCACACAATTGGTGGATCTGACCAATCAGATGACGGGGATTTATTCAGGTGTTGTACAAAAGAAATAATGAATGTTTCACATCGTGGAATGAAAGACTAATTTCATTCAGTGACAGATGGAATGTTCCATTCCACTCGGCTTCACCTCATCGAATGGAACACTCCATCAATCACGAAATGAAATTATTCTTACCATTGCACTCATAAGCATTCATTATTTGTATACTGTTCAACGCATAATCGAGTCCAATAGTGGTTTTTGTCGGACCTGTAGGGCCAGCCCAACGTCCAACTGACTGAGAACATTACTTATATCACCGAGTATAAATAATGTTCTAAACTACCTAAACCTAAAGCTGCTGGGCTAGGCACGTCTAGTCTTGGTTTTATAAATTGAGTACAGAATGAATATCGAAAACTGTTTAACTGTTCATATAGTCATTAAGGCATTTTTTTTTTTCAAGATATACAGAAAAGATGTTCCCACTAAACAGCACGGCCACATTTGGTTTGACATTGTGAAAGCATTTAAGCACGCACTGATCTGCAAATGTATAATTAAAGTTTAATAAATTGTTCATCTTTTGTAATTTTCAAAGGCCAATTGCAAATACCACTTTTACTGATATACATGTATCACAAAAACCACTACACTAAATTTTGGTTACGATGCTGCATAAATATTTTAGCGTGATGAGCCAATATTTTTATCAGTTACAATAATGGAATTTCAACAAAGCATTTCTTGCCGTCATGGTATATTTCACCACTAGAGGGCGCTACTCTGACTCTCAAACATGTGCAGGGAGTTGGGGGAAAATGTGTGCTTTTTTATTCATCCCCCATTCCCCAAAGTGCGGGAGTCCTGAGAAAAACAACTCCCAAACTTTCGAATAAACCACAAAGGGACACTACTTAGGTGCATTAATTATAAAAATATTTTCAAAGTTGAACAAAGAAATTGACTGGAGCTAGGTTTAAACCTGAGACCTCTGGATTGCCGTTCCAGCGCTCTACCAACTCAGCTATCCAGCCCTATGTTGGCGGTTCCCTAAACTTGCTAGAAACCATTGGCTCAGGTCACGTTACAGCTCTCAAATGCAAAACACTGTGCCAAGTACTTGTTTTTTAAAAACAGGAGTTTAGTAAAAGCTGCTTATATGAACAAGCCATGCGTTCCTATAACAAGTCTGGTGCATCCTCCTGGATTTGAGGTTTTTCCAGTCTGATGTGATACTCAAATGTAACATGCGAAAATCGACTAAAGTACATACAGGTATACTAAACACAAACACTTAAACAGATTCAAGTCATATATGGAAGACAAGCCTTAAAGCCATGTTAGTTTCCTTACAAATACCCATTTTGTACTCCGCTAATTCCATTCAATGTAGTTTAAATATTTTTTTCAAAATGCAATTAAGCGCATTGCAAAACAATGCCATTCTTTGCTCTTTTGAATTAACTTTTATATATACAAATCTGTGCCTTTGCATGTTTTTGCAATACACCTGTATTTCAATTAAAACTACTTGAACATAAAACTTTAAACTTGTTCAGCTGGAATAATTATAACATATTATCACTGAATTTCCATACTATGCAGCAATCTGTAGCAATTTCTCACTCAGCTCAATGTTCCCAACCACAGAATGTTTCCTTAAATCGAATAATGCCAGGTGGCTTGAAAAAAATCATCTGTGGGTTTTCGGCCCTTTTTAAAAATGTTTCGATGATGGTGAACATTGCCATTCTCTCAAGCAACATGACCAGTAATTCAAACGAACAAAATGCACAAATTACAAATGATGGACTATACCTTTAGGTCAATCATAAGTCAAATCACAACTCAGTTTACAAGAAAGAAACAGGGGATGCAGAATAACAAAGGAATGACTTTTACACAATTATTAACTGAGTAACTTGTTGCTGGACTTGCGGCTTGCAATGCGACTTGTAACTGATGTGATCTGCAGTGTGTCTTGTGAAGCCACTTGCGATGCAACTTTGCAATGCGACTTTGGCTGTGACTTTGGATGCGACTTGTAATATCATTTCCAATGTGACTTGCAATGCCACTTGAGATGCGACGTGCGATGTGACAGGCCGAAAATCCATGTCCGTTTTCGATCCAGTGCGTATTGCACTGTGCTTCACCAGTTGCGTATCCGATCCGTGGTGCATACATGTACTCTGAAAATTACGTATTTCTCTGCACACTTGACAGACGTAAGTGCTCAACAGAGAGCACGCAGCAATTTTGCGAGTAGAAAAATCAAGTCTCAATCAAATTTAGATCAGCTTTGCCAAAGTACAATTTTACGAAACAAACGTTGACAAGATTTAACTTCTCAATATAATACAAAATTCGATGTTTTATCAATGGAAGATTTGAAAATTAAAATTGAGGCAGGCCCTAGTTTGTTTCAATACGATTCACACATAAACTGCTTCGTTTGAAAGTCAACCAAATGTGAATCTTTTTACCCCACCACTACATCGTTTCTTTCAGTTTCACACAAAAAAACCCTTGTGCGTATTGTATGTGCCATCCATTTCAATTGCTACCTGAAGCATATAAAATTTCAATGGATAACGCAGTACAGATAGCACAATGCAAAATACGGACAAGATACATGGACGTATGGGCGTTGCTTTTCAAACAACTGATTCCAACACATCACGCAGTACACACTATGCTTACCACATGACGGACACAAGGATTTTCGGCCTTACATGTACAATGAGACTTGCGTTATGACTTGAAATGCGACTTTGCAATTGACGTGCCATATGACTTGATTATAAATTTTGTTTATAGCAAAGTAACTACTCATTTAAACTGCGTAATTGCTTCCAAAATGACACTGCTGTGTCAATATGCATGCCATGCATGGTATTCTTCAAAGTTCTTTCTTATATGGAAAATTCTTATCAGAATGGTTTCTTACAATACAGGTACAGAATCACAGGTTATACTTTTAAGGTAATTGATTTTAAGGCCATTAGGTCGATGTGAAGTTTAATTACATACAATTCCATACATACACTGTAATTGAATGACTGCCTTCCATTAGATGCACCACCAACTTTTCCAAAGCAGAAAGATGACTTCTAGTTGTAAAGCCACGATCCTTCTTTTCCCACTCCCACATTTTAAATAATTCTTGGGCGGATTTTTTTCAATTTGGATCAATCTTTGGATCACTCTTTGAATGTTCTCATAGTTGAATGACTTAATGAGGTCCAACTTCTTATGACTACCTCCCTGCTTTCCAAAAACCAGTTCTCTGGTCAGAAATGAACACGCCCAACCTCGGTGAAACGGTTGAGAGACTGACGACACGGTGTCGTCCCACGATGTAAAGAATGACGTAGCCAGATGCATCAGAACCATTTCTGTACCCAAACAGAAGATAACACACACAAATTGTCACTTTTAAGTCATTGAGAAAAAAAAATTGGCCTTCAAAGAAAGGTTCACACAATCATGTATCGTCCTGAGTAAATCTTGTGCACAAGGCTTGATCTGCAAACCTCTTATGACCTTGTATGACCTTGTCACATGCTGAACATGTCCTTGGCATGTTGTCACTGTGGAGTTGCACTGACATGCACCTTGTCGATTGGACAAACATTATTTGTAAGTTTAGATTAACATCCGAACATTGCATCAGAATTTATTTTCTCCTCTGAAGAATCATTATTTGTAATGCAAATTATAACATTGCTCTCCCTACACTTCCCTTGAAATCATCTCATTGTCCTTGAAATCATCTTTTCAATGCAAATTTACAAAAATCGCTTCTCGGGCAAGCATTTACTGCATGACTGCAGTGAATCGAGTACATTTTCTTCCGAATTTGTATGTTATTAAATTGTAAATAGAGCATCTGCAAACAGCACAGCTTTATCCTGAATCCTGAGTGTCTTTTTTATAACTTGCTATCACAATTTTGGCTAATGCGATAAACCTAAAATAATTCAAGAAAATTGGACACAAAAAATCCCACATTTTGTGTGGACAAATAGAGGAGTTTCAAATTGGCACGGAACTGAGGGCTCCAGTGCTGTCTTTTGTTGAGAGAATTAGGGAAAAAAGGTCCTCAATTCATACAATGGTTTAGCACTGACAGCCTAATTTGGGTACATGTCAATCGGCCTGGTATATCACAATGATTTCAAGAGTAGGGCGCCCTCAAGAGTCGCCAGATTTGCATAGTTTTGTGCAGCCAATTCGGGCGATTCACAATGCAGTGCGCCACCAAGAGTTTACCACGGAGAGTTAATTTTTCCCAGTGGGAGATGGTCGACAAATTCGCAGCGCTGGACATTTGAAATTGTTAGTTTTTCCAGTCGTTAGTTTCGTAAGCGTATGATTCGAGTATCTGTTTGCCCTTTTGTTTTCTTTTTATCAATATGGTGTTTTTTGTAAGGTGGTAGAACGCAATGCCCCAATCTACATGTATAACAAATTTAGCTCAAGTTGTCTACTTCCACTCATTCCAATTGTTCATTTTTTGTCGACCGTAAACTTGACAAATGGACTTGCCATGGCAAACTCTTGGTGGCGCACTTCATTGTGAATCTAGTGTAGGGAGGGGGGGGGGGTGAGGGAACCAACTCGTAAGTATATAAATGTGGTAATTCTGGCAAAATGAGACAGAACTGGGCAGAGGTCGAAATGAAGGTTAGCGGGTATTGGGAAAGAGAATAAACTTTCCTTACAATACTGTCTGTTGCACTTCAATCAGGTATATCGTCGACAAGTAGTGGCTGTTTAAAGTTCGCATTTATTTAAAGTTCGCATTTATGTCAAAAAAGTAAAATACTGAGAAAAAGGCCTTTAATCCTTCAAGTTTTATAGTTGTAAAAATGAAAGATGCCACTTTTATTCTACGATTGTTATATTTTTCTTTCAAACATGTGTAGTAGACATATCAGAAAATACAAATGTTACTAAATCTGAAAATGGAAGAAGGAAAATCACCCCAGTTGGTTTTTGGCATTTTTCCGCATGACGGCCTGTGCCCAGTTCCATTTTTTTGCCAGAACCGAACGCCTCACAAATACGTCCCCAACATACCTTTAACTGACTGCTGAAGTTAAGGCCGCCTTCCTCTCAATAGCGTCAAAGTACCAGACGGTGACAGCATACCTACCGGCAAACAAAATTAAAGTGATGAGTAAGACAAGAAGGAACCAAAAAAAAGAGCACTCGGCTTCAGAATTTGTAATCTAATTTTTTTTCCATTCAGGAATTTCGAGCCACTCGCATACATGCGGACGGGCTTTTGTATCGATGCAAGACGAAAAGGTTAATCAGCCTGTCCGCTGAAAAGACTCGACGGAGGCAAACAATTGCTAACATTCTCTCAACAATTCGGCCCACGCAGGCAAGTGTAAGACGAACCAATATCGCTGGAGAACAAACAATGTCAAAGTGCACAGCTGTTTGTTTCTCCGTAACGACTGGGAGAACCCGAATCGGCATGAATTCCCAAGTTGGCTTGCCTTCCTTTGAGTGTCCAGAGAGACCATTCTAATTAATTATCAAGTGTTTCTGGCGCTAAGTTGGCAATAATTTCTCTTACATTAAATTCATCAAGATGTCGATTTTCTGAAGATTTGCTAAAGGCCACAGTCTGTTTTGTAATGAGTTTGTGCCTTCCTGACAAGAGAATTTCTCAAGATTTCATTATATGGATGGATCCATAGTCCATTTCAATTTCTTTTGGACGACTTGATTTTCAACGTGTTCAAGGTCAGCCACTTTAACAATAAATGGTCAACAGTAGGCTCATTGGCACCGGTACATACCGGTATGAGTAATACATTAATGTACAGCACGGATGGCATTAAACCTGTTATGGACATTTATTTTTTTCTCTCCTGAAAAAAAAATTTACATTCTTTTATTTCCCTTTTAATGTTTTCTTTTTCATTTTAACACTACAGACTTTGCCCTTCTCCACCATAACTTTATGAGCACTGTATGCTTGATGATGTTTGAGAATTTGCTGGGGAAAATTCACAAGCTTGGTCAGTATGGTTCAAACCCTACATTGTACAGCCTATGTACGTGTACATTGTACAAACTCCTGCTTACTATGCAGACGTTTTCCCACTCAACCATCAAGCTTGCTGTGGTCAATTTTCTGGTGCGTACCACAAATCAATAACCTGGTTCAGTGATCAAGTGCATGGTTAGAATGTCTGTACATGTACATGTACTAGTAAGCAAGTCATTTGTTTGATTCCAACTTGACTTGTAAACTTTTGCTCTCAGCTCCTCACAAACTCATGAAGGAAAACAACGACGACGTTCAAATCGAGGACAAAATATACTACGTTCAACAACCCCACAAACGTCAACGAATCATTAATCAATGGATCATTATTTAAATCACACTAACACCTATGAAAAGCAATTTACAAGACTGAACATCACAAAAGAGAAGAACTGTCCGTAAGTGAGGTGACTCCTCTCTTTAAAAAAAAGGCAAAACAAACAAATACCATAATTTACATTGTTCTGACCTCCAAACATACGTATGCCCAAAAGCATCTCAAGTCCACAAACTCTCCTGTCAGCAGCCCTCTTGCGTAGGTGGGACTTTATTTACATAAACGGGCCAAAAGATGGTCCCACTGCTGTCTGGCATTTTTTGGCCTGCCTTAACGCCGCCGCGCTTGGTATTACATTCTTGGGATTTCATGATGACAAATGATAAATGTACATGTGTCAGCCTGATGTAGGGCTGGTGCAAACTACTTGCCAACCAATAGGGTAACACGTACAAGAAAGGATGTGACGGTTTAAACGTTTATACGTTTAAACAGAAAAAAATCCAACTTTGTTTACAAATTTTCCAAACCATTTAAACGAAACCCGAATTATAAAGAAGGGACCTACGATCACATGATCTTCCTTTGAGTTAAACATACACATAACTAACAATGTTTTGAAACCGTGTTTAATTTACAAAACCTTAGAAGAACCGCAGTTCTTGATTACATTCAGGGTACACCTATTTATAAGATGGAATTTGCGGGTACAAGTATTTAAGTTTTTACTTTTTCAATGACCGCCAGTTATGACAATCATTGTTGATTTTAAATAATAATGTGCAGGCATAATGGGCAGGCGTCGGTATTTGAGATATACAGCTATAGTTTCTTAAAGTATTTGCGCAAACTTTACAAAATTAAACACAAAATCACACCCTTAAACACATGTCTACACATTTCAAATGTATGTTTTTATAGGCTGTGTGACGTTGTTATTGGCTTTCTTGAACAGAAAGACACAATTCTGGTGCCAAACTAATTTCAGGTATATATCTAATACAGGTTGCCCAAGAACCCAAATCGCAGAGCAACGTTTCCTTGGTCTACGCCAAAACAAAACCTATTCTTCCTGATTCTGATGGACTCTTCTGCAAATGTACCCCCTCAACGGTTACAAAGGGAGAGTTGGGGGCGACCAATGCATTGCTGATGATGCATGGCGCTCGCGTGAAGACGCTGCAGGTTGGTGCACATTCTGAATAAGTCGTGCGTACTTCGTGCTTTACCCAATACCCATGCAGACCAGTACGCGCATGTGATGTGTCCCTCCCACTGGGGCTTTCCATAAGTGCTCACAAAGCACCATCTACACGTACTGTTCACGCACGGAGTCCTTACAATCCGACATCCTGCAATTTCTATGGATTCCGTGCACGAGTGCCCTCTGCTCAAGGGTGAAAGTGAGATTTAGAGAGACTCAAGTGACGTTGCCGCTGAACGTCCACAATCAGATGCATTTCTCCACTGTGAATCAGACGAGTTTAGTTTTGCGATTAGCCAGACTTTTCCCCCTGTTTTTTAGCTACGTTGTTTTTCATTTTTTTTATATTAACCTGATTAGTCTTGTAGATATACAGAATACTAACACAGATCTTTATTTGAGGGAAAACATTTCAATTGAAATATACTGTACCAATACCTGGCATGACCAATTTTGGTCATTCAAGTAACCAGTTTTTGAAGACTGTCATTTTCCAATTAGAAAATATTTAATTTTAAATATCGTTTCATAACTTGCTTTGCCTATTTGTTTTGCTTTCACTTAAAGGTGCAACAGCAAGATTAATCCTAACCCCCTTGAGTGATTTACTGGGAGCACCTCACTCTTGCAAAATCCAACTGTTGGACTCTGATTATGGTGTTATGCCTGACACCATGTAAAACATCATCAGTCTACTACTAGTGCAGTACTCACTCCAACAGATTCCAACAAAATGTGCAGATGGATTGTGAAGGGTTTGGGATGGTCAGGGTTACTTAACCACTGCACAATTCGGGCGATTCACAATGCAGAGCGCCACCAATAGTTTGCCATGGAGAGTTCATTTTTCCCAGTGCATTGTGGGAGATGGTCGACAAATTTGCAGCGCGGGACATTTGAAATTGTTCGTTTTTTCCGGTCAGTAGTTTCGTAAGCCTATGATTCGAGTATCTGTTTGCCCTTTTCTTTTCTTTGCATCAATATGGTGATTTTTTGTAAGGCGGCAGAATGCTATGCCCCTATCTATAACATAATAGCTTAAGTTCAAACTCATTCAAATGGGCCCTATTTTGTCAACCGTAAACTTGAAAAATTGACTCTCCATGGCAAACTCTTGGTGGCGCACTGCATTGTGAATTGCCCGAATTGTTCATAAAAAAGTACCACAACTGTCCTGTATTAAAGCAACACAGAGATTACCCATAAAAACTAGCAGCAGAACACTTAAGTTGTCGCCTATTTTTCCCCGTATTTTTTACTGAATGTAAATCGCATACGTACCGCGTGTTGAAGGCTGGCATAACTTCATGGGGATTTCTCCGATCCGACCAGAAGAAGATTAATCTGTTGAAGATAGGGTCGACACTTGCCATCATGTCGTGTTCACGAGGATAGAGCTGCAGACTGCCGCCCATCGTCTGCAAGATTGAAAAAAAAGTTACATCAGTTGCAAAAGCAGCATCAAAAACGTGCTGCCCTCTAGAAAAGATGTTAAAACCCTATCACTATTTTAGGATGGAATTTTTAGAAATAAAAATTATAATATAGTGATTGATTGCGGTATCCGATGCTAGTAACGTATCGGATTCAATCAAGCCAGCCATACCTACCATAGCAAGTTTGGTGCTCGAGTGGTAAGACGGTTTTACTAGTAAGCAGAAGGGCGTGGGTCCCGAACAAGTACAGGTAAGCTTGTGAATTTCTTCTCGCAAGCTCCGAGCGTACAGTGTTTATGAAATTGTGTTGCTAAAGGGTAATATCCACTTTTGAATGTTCAAACTGTACTGTGGCAATACCTCAAAGGCACCAATTGAATTTGTCATAAGAAACGGTCAACAGTTATTGCATGGCCCTTCGTACTGGCACATGTACCTACCAATACAACATTAGATACATGTTATAATAACACATTATCTTTACTTGAAGAAATGCAGAGATAACAAAAGCAATTTTGGGATTAATTAAGCAAATGAGTGCAACCTCCATCTCACTCCATTTGGAGTCAAGTAGCTGATTGACCACCCCGGGTGCCCCCCCCCCCCCCCCCCCCCATTTGAAATGTTGAATTGAAAACAATTATAATGCACTGTTGAAATGATACGTTTCATTTGCCTTAAGTGCATCCCAAGGTGCCCCAGAAGCTTTACCCTTGTTACGCTGCTGTCCAAGGCACTCCATAGATGGTGTTATATTACTATAAAGATATTTGTTTATATTGTATTGGTACTTGTGATCTGTTACACGGTACCCTGTGGAGACATGGGTTTAATAAGGAACAAAAGATTTAATACGTCTCCACAGAGCAATTTCGATAGGTGAATATTTCTCCACAAGGTTATCACGAAATAGATATATAGAATTTCCAAGGTGTGTTGATCTGTCGCAAATTGAAGTATTTTATGTATTAAAGGGATATTAAGTCCGAATTTCAGCCCAGGAAATTAATTCTGATTAAAATAGTGAGCATTTTGAAACTACACTTTCGAACTCGAAAACTTTAGCGCACGAGAACAAAGAAATGACTCCACAAAGATACAAATTCCCAAATTATCCAAAAAACTAATTTAAATTTTTTTAAATTTTTTTTTTTAATTATGCATTTTCCAATGCCAATATAAATAATCTAAAACTATCATGTTTTATTAGCTGGTTGCAATGGCAATAAAAGACATGAGATTTGAAGGTTTGCATGGTGGAAATATACTAAGACAAGATAAGTTTGCGGTAGCACCATGTGAATAAATCTCTTTTGTGAGTACATGTATGTGTGGTTCTGAAAAGAACCGGAGGGACTCTAAGACATGCAACACAATGGTCTTTGTATCATAATTATGAACAACCACAATTAACTGCTAGCAAGAGTCACCAGATTTCATAAGTTCACACTAAGCTACACATTCTAGAGCTTTACTTTATTACAATGGAAAAAAAATCTTGAAGAGGGACAATTGTGGCCTCCCCCCTTGTTTTGAAAAGTTCATTTGAGGAGAAAGTGTGGCAGAATATAACAATCTACACAATTTTATATAGACCCAGAGCCACCACAGTTGCTTATTATCCATCGTTTCCTCTGAGCTCTAAAAACAAATCATGCTTGCTTCCTCTAGAAAGCTGGACACATTGCCCTTTCAAAGTACATGTATATAAACAAATTGTCACTCCAGTTTCTGCAAGTCTTCAGCAATGACGGAATTGTGAATTGGGGCGTAAGCCCTGGTCCAATATGGTACTACATTATGTTTTTATGGCTTTGACTAACACTGGCTACCAGTACATGTTGCTCAGTTGGTAAAGCCCATATGTTGCTTGGAGGCTTCCAGCATTTCAATTCGAACGAATCAAATGGCCCACAAAAAACTAACAAACAGAATGACGAGGGAAGCAAGATATTTTCTTAAAGGCTTAATGGTATTTTGTCTCAAAATGTTTTTCCATTGTGCTGGCGAGTGGTTAATGGCTTAAAGGGAAGACACAACATTTGCAAACATCAAAAAACGAAATGATCAAATTGTCACGAAATACCTTACTGGATTGTTAGGGAATGACAGTCTAAAGCATCCTGTAAAGTTGTGGCTCCTGGTGTGCTGACATTTTCAAGAAAAACTGTATTTTTCCAAAACTGGTCGGCCGACCAGCGTTGAAGAAAACTGGGGTTTTTTCCCCAAAAAGTGCTCCTATTTAGTTCGTCTGCATTTTCTTTGCAATTGATTACACACCTGTGAAGACTACAACCCTGCTACATGTAGACTGATTCTCTGATCTTACAATTCCCAAAAGGCTATACATTACTCCGTTTCATCTTAAGTGGGGTCAGGGAACCAGACTATAAGAATATGATTGTTTTTCTTGGTTTTTCCAGCATCTACGAACCCAAAACGTGAAACAAGTCAGTTTAACAATATTTGCTATGACATACTAATCCTCCAAATCCATTTATTTCTGAAAATTGCAGCAGAAGTAAATGTTGTACATTCCCTTTAAAGTTCATCCCGAAAAATAGATTTATTTTCTAAATTACAAGTTTTTTACAATACAAAAGTTATTCACTTTGGAATGAGACATCGACCACCAAGGTTTAGGTATTGAAATATTACTTCACAATTTCGGTTTATTGGCTGCCAGACAGGAATTCCGTTATAGCAGGGTAGGCTGGTTCCCCCCCCCCCCCCCCCCCCCCCACAATCAGTATCGATAAAGTAAGGACCTGGAGCCAGTCTACTCGCAATGCGGATCACATGTTGTGCACAAAATTGAAAACGTATTCAATTTGTTGGTACGGTAATTTTATCAGAAATAGTCAGCATCATTTGGTCTGGGAACCAGACTACAAATATACGCGCATTGCAATGATATTTTGCATGCGTGGAGCCAGTAACCGGAAACATACGCAAAACAATTATTACCGACTTGGCACAAAGTCTACTGCTGGGCTGGCCTTGTTGAAATTGCCAGCCAGAGAGGGATGTTAGACAAAAAAAGAGCTTGTTGAAGATTTCTTCGGTGTTGAAAATCTAATGAAATATACTCTCTAAATGTTTATCGATACTTGCGATTTAATTTTTTAACAGCTGTGACAAGAGGGGGGCTTTCAGGGTTTTTTTTTTTTTGGAGACACCCTGTTTATTAGAGAATTTCATTCGAACACTTGGGGTCAGGAACATACAACTTCTGTTCAACCAAAATATTCCCGTTCTAAAAATGCGTCAATGGTTCGAGATCTTCTTTGTCAGTTGCCAGGGTTACTTTTGTGGTGTATTTACTTTTATCAGAAATTGGACATGATGTGCATGTCGCTTTGAGTGGTTGGTAAACATCACTTTACGCAAGAAATGAAACCGAGTCATTGGATGACGTCGTCACTGTTCAAACCAGGCAAACGTGACAATGCATACTGCCAGAAAAGAGGAAATACTAGCCAGCAAATGTGGGTAGTGTAAATAGAGCTATATTAAATTACTAGAGCGCTAACTTGATGCACAAAGTAATTAATGCCTGATGGGCGCATCCATGTTTGTGCACAAACCTATGGAAAACTCGAAATTTTGTACGGCTTTTGTACCGCTTTTTGCATATACATGTATATCTGCATTTGTATTCCATACCGGTGCGTCATCGAAGCCGATACGCCCAAAACCGAAACGCACGATCAGCAAATGAGCGTTTCATTTTGCTCTACGCAAACAGCGCAACGTGTGCGCGTCCCTCCGCTGCAGATGCTTTTCGCCGTGACGTTTTTTGAACCGTCATGACGCGCTTAAATTGTTTGCGTATCTTCTACCTGCGCGTTGCATTTAGAGTACACTTTTAAAATTCAATCCATCTATTTTGATTGTGTTCTACAACACGCACATAAATTCAAAATGTCTGCGCCCAGAGCGGCTTCAAAGCGTCTCCGCGCGCAAGAATGAGGAGTTAGCGCTCTAGTAATTTAATGTAGCTCTATGGTCGTGTACTAATGTACCGGACCATACATGTAGTTTGCATTCTTCTTTTTTTGTTCAATTTATTGATTGATATATTATTTATATAATTCCTATTTTGACTGGTTAGCCCATTCAGTGGAATCCACTGGTCTCCCATGGGGCCCAGTAAAGAAGAAGACATTGTGATAAAATTACAGATTTAGATCTTGCAGATGTGGGAGGAAAACACCAGGAGAATATTCTGAGGAAAACCCGTGGGACTGAAAACCCAATCCACAGTAGGAATCAAACCCTGGTCACAGCGGTGGAAGGTGTGGAAAGTAGCGCTACGCCAACCTGACTCCCACGATTAAAGGGAAAATACAACATTTGCAAACATCAAAAAATAAAACTACCAAATCATTTTGAAATACCTTGCTGGACTGTTAGTGAATGACAGTGTATAAAGCATCCTGTAAAATCATGGCACCTGGTATACTGTCATTTTCAAGAAAAGTGGTATTTTTGTATCAATTTCCAACGCGTTGGAAAAATCTGGCTTTTTTTCAAATACTGGCCCCAATTGACAATCGCACTTGTTTGCAATCGATTACACACCTATGAACGGGTACAAGCCAGCTAGACTGGTTCCCTGGCATTACAATTCCCCAATGTATGTAAACTGCTCTGTTTCTTCTTATATGGAGTCAGGGAACCAGACTACAGGAAAATGATAGTTTTTCTTGTTTTTTTATAGCATTTTCGAACCCAAAACCTCAAAAAAGTCAGTGTAACTGTTGTGCCCATTCTTGAAAATCACGCATTCTCGAGAATGGGCATGCACATTCTTGAGAATGTGCAACTGGATCCTTGCTCAATCTTGGCAAAAAATAACTCTTCCAGATTGAGCGCACATTCTCGAGAATGCGCGACAAGATAACGGTCTTGTCGATGCCGAGCACCGGCTGCGCTTGGCAAGTCTAGCTGAATCCTCGTTCACTGATTCTCAATAATTA